CTGTCTTCCTTCGTCTGCTTATAAAATAATATGTCTCCGTGGGTATTACATTTTGGAACTATACTAAATAATTCACTTGTGCTGATGAAATCTCCCAACATAAGGCTGCTTTCGTGTGTTTCTATAAGCACTGCCGTTAGTGAAATTGCTAGATTTAGGAGAAGGCTATTTTGATTTTGCTGAATATGCTATGTTTTATTTTAGGAACTGGTAATTATTGTTTACCATGGTTGATTTTCAGTAGCTTCCGGTTATTTTTGAAGAACCTGCCGGGTAATATATATATATATATATATATATATATCGATCGAGGTGTCTTTCTCGTTTATACCTTTGATTAGTTACTTCTGCAAGGTTGAAACTTTTTCCCTGTTTCAGTGGGTTATAGAATGTTGCATCCTCTACTTATTTGGGAGGAAAAAAGAAGATATTATCTTTGAAAGGATTGGGTGTTGATGATTGAGATTCAATAATATTCTGTTGGTCATCCAATAACAAAAACACCTGGTACACTGTTCAATGCTTAGAGTTTGCTCTAACTTATGATGTCTTAACTCAATTGAAGGCCGGTAAAGAGAAGGCAGGAGAGCGAGAAGAATCAGCAGATAGATTGGCGCGGGCAGAATGCAAGGTTATTGTCAAAATTGTTTTGTTAAATAGGTTTTATTTATACTAATTTTCATATTGCATTATCTCATTGTAATATCAATTGGGCTTTCATGTTGATTATGCATAGATAGTGTAATAAGATTTGCTCCAGCTGTGTAATATGTGTATAACACGTGTGAGGTGAACTGTGATTCCTTTGTCATTAAGGAACCTCTTTTCAGTGGTTGCACATTTTTAGTCATTGCAAGCCTCATGCAGGCATACTAATGATAAGGCTGTAAATAATAAGAATAATAACACTCATTTCTTTTGATAATAGTAAATATTAATAACAATTAACTGGAAACCAAACTTTGTTATACAATTTTCTGTATGCCTATGGCTAAATGGATCGATAGATGAAAGGATAGCTGAATAAAATCTTTCACAAAACTGCATTAATTTTTCAAAAAATTACTGAACGCTTAAACTGTATTGTCATGAAGTGCGCTTATATCTTTTGGTCATTTTTATTTGTTTTCTCGAGACAGTCGTGCTAATAACGTTTTGTCCCCTTTGATGTTATGACAGTTTTATCTATCATCAGGAGGTTGTAAGTTTGGAAAAACTTGTAAATATAACCATTCAAGAGGAAACTGTTCAGTAGCCCCAGCTCTAGAGCTTAATTTTCTTGGTCTGCCCATCCGTCTGGTATATATTCTTAATATCTCTTTTATCTCTTATTTGTTACTAAACTTGTTTGCTTTTGTTGTTTAACATATATGATATCACTTGCCTCTTTCTGCTATTATTTGATTACTTATTCCCTGAGATTTGAATGAGTTTGCTGTTTAAAATAGGGTGAGAAAGAGTGTCCTTATTACATGCGGACTGGCTCTTGTAAGTTTGGAGCAAACTGCAAATTCAATCATCCAGATCCTACAGCTGTTGGGGGAGGTGATCTTTCTGCAAGATATGGTAATGGTGGGTCAATATCATTACAAGGGGTCTCACAGCCATCTGTACCCTCCTGGTCTTCTCCAAGAACATTAAATGAAACTGCTGCTTTTATGCCAATGATGTTGTCACCTGCTCAAGGCGTGTCTCCCCAAACTTCTGAATGGAATGTGTATCAGGTATACCATTACCAATAATTATCTAGCAAGGGACTTATGATGTATTATTACTATTATATTAGATGTTTAGTCTACTTATTTTCCGCATGCAATGCTATTGAGATGATCACTATAGCTTCAGTATATACTTGTAGTCCTATACTATGTGCTTCCATGTATTCCCGTTCTATTCCTAAGCTGTATACCATTCTGCCTATTGAACTTTTGTAAGTAGTTGTTCACTCCTTTTTGTCCTGTCTGTGGATTTGTATAAAGGCACCTGTCTACCTAGCTGAGGGGAGCATGCGCCCACCTTCTGCATATGTTATGAACAACCCAGCGATTGAGAAAAATATTTATATGCATCATCAGAAGAAGATGCAGGTTGAAGAGTTTCCTGAAAGGCCTGGGGAGCCTGAATGCGGTTACTTCTTAAAAACTGGGGATTGCAAGTTCAAATCTAATTGTAAATTTCACCATCCAAGGAATCGGATTACAAAGTTACCGTCAACTACCTGCACCCTCAGTGACAAGGGTCTTCCTTTGAGACCTGTAAGTTTTTGTCCTGCTGTTCCTTGTTCATACTGAAATTGTCTTTCCTGCAATGTTTCCTACCTACAAGAAGTTGAAGGAGATTACTTCACTGGAAACTTAAAATTTAATTATAAATTCATCAGTCAATGAATTTTTTTTTTTTCCCCGGGGGGTGCTATGCTGTTTTCAATTTTCCTTCTCTGCAGATTGGTGTGATTAATTTCTGATCAGGAAATTTAGAAAAGGATTCTAAGACACATTGGCATACTGTGATCCATGTAGCAGACCTTCTTAATGGGACAAGGCTGCTTGTTATCATTGTTCTTGTTTTTGTAAGCTTGCTATGTTTGAAAATATGCTTTGCCTGAAAGGTGTGCTTTCAATTCAAATAATTGTATCTTACATTTTGTGGAGAAAACTTGGGAAAAGCTCCTTAGGCACTTATTATCAAATTTTCTATATAACAATAATACAAATGACTTTCATATTGATGATATGTTGCACACAGTGAAAGATATGTTATACTCACGGATCATAGTTGTACTTGCTCAAATTTAGATATTTTTAACTGATTAAATTTTCAAACAGGGATTTTTTTACCAATTTTTCCTCAATTTATTGTGAGCTCAAACGAGTTGGAACTTATAAAAGAAACAACATTTTGGCTTATAAATGCCTTGTCAAGCACAGGCGTACGCATGTCTGTAATTTTTATCAAGGAATTTATTGTGAGCTCAAACGAGTTGGAACTTATAAAAGAAACAACATTTTGGCTTATAAATGCCTTGTCAAGCACAGGCGTACGCATGTCTGTAATTTTTATCAAGGAATTTACATCACTGTAGCACACTTTTCTTATACCATAAATAGTGTGGCTCTTCTATGCCCAGCCACTCTAATGTCATAATTTCCTAAAGTCATAACTTATAAGAATGTTTCAGTTAACACAACACATGGTTCTGCAATTCTAAATGCTGTGAACAATAAAATTAAAAATGACTTCACCACTTGCATCATATCCTGATCAACAGGGGGAATGAAAGGGGAAGGATTTTAATGGAGGGGAAGTGAAGGGAGGGATTTTAATGATATTTCAAAATCCCCCAATTTGGAGGGTTTTGTGTTTCAGATTTTGGGAATAGAAAAGAACTTGAGTTTAATTTTTCATATGGAGCTTCAAGATTCTCATTTTAGTATCACATTTGTGGTAAATTGCAGGACCAGAATGTCTGCACGCATTACAGTCGCTATGGAATCTGCAAATTTGGACCAGCTTGTAAGTTTGACCACCCAATAAACTTATCGCCCTCTTCAGTGCCTCCACTTGATCAGCAATCGTCCTACTCAAACTCTGCTAGAGTTGAAGTGGCTGAAAATGGAGGGGCAACTGGGCAAATAATGCAATAATTTAGCAGCCTTCTCGCCTTGAGGATACGTTTTACCCAGAATTTGTAATTTTCTTAACATAAATTATTTGGCTTTTTTGATTCTGCTTAATGGCACAAGCATTGCAGAGAATGGCAATATACATGTTAAACAGTTGTTTTGTTACAGGTAATATTTATCAACATCTGTAGATTATTCTCTTTCTGTGGGTTTTTGTTCACCAGCGTCCAGAATCAGTGTTAGATTATGTTAGGGTTGATGTTAACTAGTGTGAATGTGGATTTTCTTGTTTCTGCTTTTTGGCTGCCAATGGAGCACACTATAATATAACGGGAGTTACTTAGGCTGAACTGAATCCGATGTTGGCGGGTGAAACGAAAGGGCGAAATGATTTTGCATATTTCATACAAAATGAAATGGAAAGAGCAATTGATACCGTTGCTTTTAAAAAAGATTCAAAACAAATTGAAATTGCCTCTAAATAATAATTATATGAATATAATAGATGCTGGAAACTTTTTTTTTCCTTTTCTTTGTTCGACTTCATGCCTATTGGAAAATTTGACTTTCATTGGTTAAATTCATTAGGCTATATATTTGATTGTAATAAACTACATTGCTGTTTTATGTTTTACCATTGACGAGACAAAGTAATTTTAAACAAATTAGTGTCCAATTGCATCAAATTATTCTTTGATAAGAACTATTAACCCGATAATTTTTTAAAATCATCTAATGAAAGATACTTAATTGTATAATATCATTTTAGAAAGTGATAGCTATCAATCCATTCTTTTTTCCTTTTAGTAGGTATAAGTATTCTCCTATTGGAGATAATCCTGTTCGAGACATTGTTGAGCACTAAATATGGGCACCTTTTCTAGCTGAGATTCAAATATTGATTTATTATATTGTAAGGGATTAACTCTTTTCGCTTGACCCAAACCGTTAGTGTCTATCAATCCATTCTCAAACAATTGATTTGAACGCCAAATCACTTGGATGAGGAATAATACAAAGACGGGTCTCATCAAAATAGAAGCTGAAAATCCAAGGCCAATTGCACAACCTGGTTTGATTCCTTTTAAATTCAAAACTTAGAAATAAAACAAAATCCCTTTACACATCTCACTCATTTGGAATTTAGATTTCCTATTCATCTTAAACCTGTTCTTTTTCTTTTTTTTTTGTGGCCAGCTTAAACCTGTCCTATATGAATCATCCAAATCTCATTTTAAGAATGATCAAGTAAGGCGGGCCTCCACACTCTTGCAGGAAAAAAAACAAACATGTAATTTTCACCTTATTGAAAGACAAAAGCGAGGTCAATGAAAAGGGAAAGGCAAGCAATGGTGGTCACAAATCATAGTAATCACATTTCAGTTCATTAAGGTCATACCCACCGGCCACCATGTCATTTCTTTCCCGTGTATTACAAAATTATATCAGTTTACAAACTACAAGAAGGCGGAAATAACCATCATCGACATAATAGAATAGTAAAAATAAATTACCATACCCTGCTTTACAATGCAAGAACTAGTTGGTTTTGTTTTTTGTACAGGATTCCCTCCACCTAGTCGTCAGGGGTACATTTCATCACCAAATTTCACATTTTTGAGCAACTCTAGACTACAACACAGCAAAGCCACTTTCTCTGCATTCACGATTAAGATATTAACCGAAGCTCAGACACACCTCAGAATGTAGGAAGTCAAGGAGAAAATTTTTAATTCGCCGAGACCTAAACATTGGATGGAAAACTTGGTTTAAATTTACCTTCTTAGGAATTTCAAACTTGTCATCCTTATCATCGTCATCATCAGATTTTCGTGGGGTTGCAAAGGTCACTGCGGTACCGTTGGTCTTCTTCTCATTTCTGGCCTTGTTAAATATAACAGTGAATCCTTCTGATGTAGCCGGGTTGTTCACATCCCATTCGCCAAATTTTGGCAGTGGCCGACCTTTATCCTCCTAACCAAGTTGGTAAAGGTTCAAACTTTGGACAAAAAGGTGCAAGTCTTGAAAGACATGGTGCAAAACTTGTCCCAACTTTATATCTAAAATATATAAAATTGATTATTCATTTCTATGCGACATCATTTTTTTAAATGACAGAAACTATTAAATGTCCAGCCCTATACAAAAAACCATCTCATACATTTAGAAATAGATTTTGTCAGATAGACTAATTAACTACACTACAGCTTATTGATTTTTTAAGTTTTGACATTAGTTAAATTTTATTTCAAAGATTTTGTGGAATTTGAAGAGAAGATATAATTAAGAGGGGCAAAATATACCTTAAATGCTTACACATATATCTTCTGATTTCCACTCTCGTTCAACGCTACAAAAAATTTACAATAAAAATTTCTAAAATACTGTTCATTTTTACTGACTTCTTTCTTCATCTCAGAAACCAACAAAATATGTTAAGAAGGGAATTTTAACCTCAAACATAAAAGAATGGCGGCAAAATGCAGGACTTTCAATAAGAATTATGATAATAAAATTGTAGTTGAAGTATATTAAACATGTTCATCTTTAAATCATGTAAAAATATTCAAACTTCGACAATAAACCTCTTCAAATCTCCAAACCTAGGATTATACACATGCAATCACCTATTATTAATTAATGTGTTATTTCACTAACAAACGTGAAACACATCAAATGGTCAGAAGGTTAGAACAGTATTTGCACACAAGGGATTTATCTTATTTCTGAATTCTAAATCAAAATAAATATACAAATTATAATTTTATCAATAAAATCCGCTAACATCGAAAGTCTTCTTCCCCGACTTCAATTATCAATAAACAATGAAAAACCAAGTTACATCAGTTAAGAGAGAGACCTGGACAAATCCTTGTCTATTGAAATAAAGAACGGAAAGCCTCAAGCATTTAAGAATTCCCAAAATAATTCGAAAATAATAGCTTCATGTAACGTAGTTTTTTTTTTTTTTGGGGCTAGCGTTCATGTAACGTAATTTCACGTCTATATCACCCGCACAGATTAAGATATTACGAGCAACTTATAACCTGATTATGAGTTCATGGCGATCCTTTGGAACAACAAAAAGAGAACTAACATGCATAAAACAGGTCGATCTTTTCTTTCGAATACAAAAATAAGATGAGATGCGGGAAAAAGTGAAGAAATTACCGAAGCCATGGACGAGAATAGCGGGGCTTCAAATCCAGGGATCGGAAAGTCGGAGGAGATTGAGAGAGAAACAATGCAAAGGCGTACTGTTATATGTGTTGGAGAGAAAGGGCTGACTGAGAAAAATAAGGAAACAAGAGAATAAATTGTTGGCCACGAGGGTTCACAGGAGTTGCCACCGATCGAAACCGTTTTTGTTTTCCCGCGTTCTTCCGCTACTTCTGTATTTTTTCTTTTTAAATAATTGTTTCTATTCTATTTTGTGCGTATTATTTTTAGTTAAGACATTACATTCCGCCTATCGGGTTGAAGCTCACAAAAAATTCTTAATCTTTTCCTTTTGGGGAAATCACATCAGACACCGAATTTTAGAATCTTACAATGGAAGAAATGAGTCTTAAGAACCTTAAAATTACAACCAACTTCTGAAGACTTTAACGATATACATGAATATATATATATATATATATATATATTAATCTGTGCAGTGTTGGTCAACATATTAGATTTAATTTTAAAACGTTCAAATTGTAAAGTTGAATAAAAACAAATTGTCCATTTCTTGCCAATTCACGTCTCTCGAACGTCTTGCGATATTCCTCTTGCAAATTGATGTCGTTTTGCGCTCTCTAGAGGAGGATGGATTTGATTAGATTTGAAGTTATCATTCAAGTGCATATCTATGTATAAATTCTCATTGATCCCTCCCATGTACGTACAATTCAAAAGTAACGTTAAAACGTCAAAGATGCATTAACCAAGGTCTTCCAGGCATTCATTACATCCTTGTTAAAGATATACAAGTTTTTCCGCCAGTGATTTTTACACGCAGAGATGATATTTTGAAAAATAATCAGTTACATCTAATTTTTCCAGTTTAAGTTTGTAGATATCCCCCGGTCGACTGCAATACCAGTTAGGCTTTGATAAGTTAACTCCGCTGTATAAGGGTCGCGGGTGGAGTAGAAATTACCACTAGTTCAATGTTACAGACTCAAGTCTATGATCACTCTAATCTTCTTCTCAACTCTAATATTGGACAAAATGACTATGATCAAGATCAGCTACACAATAATGGAAAACTGAGCAAAACTAATACAAAGAAAGACCTAGTACAAATTCCTACAGTAAATATACAATCATATCTGCAATTAGATTATGTAGTGTGCTACAAAACAATATGCACTCCAATGAGACACCCTGCTGGCCTTAACAGTCATAGAGGGCACACAAGTTAGGTCTCGACATTAGCTTTGTTTCCAGCAAGGATGAGGGAAATTTCCAAACCACGGCTAAATGCTTGATTAAAGAGAAGGCGTGATTGAAAGGTGGAAATGAATGGGAACCATGACAAAAACGCTATTGGTGCAAATATAAGCATACCCATCCCAGCATCATACAATCTAGCAAATTCACGCACTGATTCCCACAATCCAAGGCTCCACACTATCTTCTTCCACGTAATTGCCAACTGCAAGAAAAGAAAATAACTATGTAAATTGGTCTCTGCGCGCGCGCGTGTATAACAGCAATGGTAGGACGCACCCAAGTGAAAAAGCAGTGGTAATGCACAGTCAAGAGACTTCAACTAATGATATCAGTAGTGCAGGAGGCATAGATTCAAAATGCAGCTAGCAACAAGACTATATTTTGGGTTACAGAATAAAAACTGTTGATTGATCTGGTATGTATAATCAAGTATTGACTTTCTGTCATGCGTGCGTCCTCTTAAAAAATCAACTACAACTGTAGCTCAGACTTCTGATTCTATTCTGAACCATAATCCAAGTCACTTCTCAAGGCACCACAACTTAATACGTTGCATGGCATTAGTCCAGTGCAGGTTCGACTCACAGAAAGATTGCGTACAACCTAGATGTCATACCAAATGCATTTTACACCAACAATGAAGCAAGAGTTGGACTTACAGATAGTATTGCCCATCCAGTAGGGATAAATGCAAGGATGCTAGCAAAAAGGTCAGCTATTGAGAGATTGGTAAAGATAACAACAAGGCACACGGCTGCAGCAAGCCCTAATGCGGCCACTCCCTGTGTAAATCGCATCACTAACTGAAAGTCGGCTGATTTCTTTGGGCTGTAGGTAAAGATCTGCAAGGCAAACAAAATATGAATAACAACATAATGGGACAAAAAGATTTAGGGAAAACAAAAGCAAGACGGGTGAAAAAAAGACATTGAACTACTTGACCCAAAAAAAAAAAACAAAAAAGAACAGATTGGGAAATTAGTTCGAACCTTAAATATCAAGACTATGCAAACCAAGACGACCCAGGAGAATCCATAAACCTATGAAATAGTCAATTGTCAGAATCCATAAATAAGAAATTTTTACATTAGCATTATTTAAAATATTAAATAAGCCTTCTTAGACGATATAATTAGTAGTTAAAGAATTTCATATTACATTTCACATTAAACTCCAAGAACTGACATGATGTAGTAATTAAAATCCAATACAAGGAGGAAGAGAAGAAAGTGTACCGCAAGTGATGTATCTTTTCCTGTAAGGTGTAGCTTATAAACTATACCATATTGAAACATGAAAAACCTTAAACTCAAAATGGTCTCCAATATACGGCCCCTTAAAGTGTGGATATGCATCTGCAGAAACGGTGGCCATCATTAGACATAAAGGAAAGATGATGACAAACAGGCCATTCTAACATGGCATAGACGTCAATCTCATCAGGGGAAATTGAGATAAGAGCAAATGTAAATTCTTTTATCTCCAGAATAGATTAATAGAATCAGTTAAAAGAGTGTTATAACAGTAAAATATTGTAAGAGGCGATTGAATCAGTTAGTAAAGTTGTTGAGTTAGATTGATTAGCAAAATTCAAATACGTCAATGCATCATTGATTCGACTAGTGTCAAAAAAATATATGGTTTATTTGCAAGTTTACTGGACTGAAAGTTACGGACATTCAAAAAATTAGTGTAGCCAATGTCACATTTAATGAAGAGTTATGATATATGCATTTAATGTGCACAATGTATTCAAACCTGCCACGGCGAATGGCTAAGGTATGATGTTTGTAATTCCATAGAGGGATACCTCATGCAAGAATGGTTGTAGAATAATACTACTTGTCCATTTTCTCCCTATTGCATGGCATCATTTTTGTATGTCTCTCTGGCCACACAAGGGCATTGGAGACATGATCATAAGATTACATGCTTGAGTTAAATCAGTGTCTAGAACAAAAAGTCAAGGTGGGTAAATCCAGGCAATTAATCTCATGCACCGAAGATTTCAAAGCTGCTATGGCTGTGAAAAAAGCCTAGCTAATGACAAACGACCATGGAGAAGAACTTAGAGCAATGTCAAATTTGTATAACAGATTTTCGCATTTGTAAATCCTCAATTCTTGGTAAGTTCTAATAATTTTGAATTGCTGATTTGCATTTAGGATATTTTTCCCTTGTGGCTTACAAATTTAACTTTTTTTCCTCCCTTGCATTTAGGCCTCTTCGATAGCTACATATTTGAAAACGTCCTCAATGCTTTTAAACCAGAAACGAGGATTTTGAAAGAGTGACAAGGCTAACTCATTGCTCACGTGGAGGATGAGAAAGTCTGTGTTTACTGCATAATATGGTATATTTTTGTGATTGTTTATTGGACATATTGCAGATTTTTGTGCCGGCAAATCCTGGTTCCCACTCGTATTTAATGATTGCTCATGTCCCTAATTCTTACAAACTTGCAAATATATGACTTGTCAACAGCGGCAGTGACAAGATCTGAATTTGAAAGATTGAGCTCCAAAATAGCTTTGTAATAAGACTCCAAGAACAGGGAGAATGGAGTAGTAGTTGAGTCAGTTTTGCATCTTTGTAGGAAAGTTGAATAAGTCTTGTAAGTTTTATTTGTTTTGTTAATGATTTATCAGCTGAATAAGTGGACTTTAGGTTGTTAAAGGTCCACCAACGTCTCTTTCTGTTACCTCCAAGATATTAGGGATATTTTCTTATTTTTCATATTTATTTAATTGGCATTATAAATATGTTGGCAGACTTTATGGCTAACATGCCTGAGAAATAAAGTACTGTTTGAATTAATTGGAAATTCTCCATTGATTTGGTTGTTGAGGGTGTGTAGAGTGAGATACTCCGCTCACTCTTAATGGAATTTATCCTTGGTCTATTAGATAGTGTTCGTAAGATACAGCATTCACTAGTAGAATTTTCTTTTTTCCCTCAGTTTTCCTATTCCAGAATCAGGTCCCTAACACTGAAGAGCATTTACCAGCCAGCAGGAGGGGTAACGTTGCTGATATTTGTGATGCATATGCACTAATGAAGCCATACAGACAGCCAACGACAGCTGTCTTTAGAAGCTTCCTTTCTCATGTTTTTCAATGCTTTTTTTTTCTACTTGGTTGGGATGCACAGATACGAGTTTTGGCACTGTAGTCATATTGTATGCATATTTATTACAATGTGTTAGTACAGAGTTGGAGGTCAGATTGGGAGACAAGTCTTTCAACAAGTGAAAAAGTTTAAATATTTGGGATCAATTATACAAAAAGACGGTGAAATTGATAGAGATGTTAGTTATAGAATTCAAGCTGGGTGGTTTAAATAGAGAAAAGTGACAGGAGTTATTTGTAATCGGAAAGTACCAAATAAGGTCAAGCTGGCAATGCTATATGGCAGCGAGTGTTGGGCTTTAAAGGGACAACATGAATATAAAATGGCAGTTGCTGAGATGAGAATATTGAGATGGATGTGTGGTTATATAAGAAAAGACAAGATCCGTGATGAACATATAAGAGAAAAGTCGGAGTGGCTGCTATCGATGAGAAAATGGTAGAAAACCGATTGAGATGGTTTGGTCACGTGCAAAGAAGGCCTTGGGACGCGCCAGTAAGAAGAGTTGAGCAAACAGTATGGAGTCCTCTAAAAAAGAATAAAGGAAGGCTAAAGACAATGCTTAATGAAGTCATTGAAAGAGGTCTTTCAATTAACAATCTATCCAAAGATTTGGTTTTGGATAGGGCTCAATGGTGTCGTGCAATCTATTTAGCCAACCCCACCTAATGGGATAAGACTTTGTTGTTGTTGTTGTAGTATTTATTACAAAGTGTACCATACAGGTGCAAACACATTGTCTGGTGCATTTTGAAACAATCTGGATAGACATCATTTTTGCCACTATTTCCACCTTCAAATGACCTAAGTTTCCATTTGCAAGCGCCAGTATTCCCATTTGTCTGTATCTCAAAATCCTACTTTACTACTCTCCGAGATACTTTCACAATCTAATAACGAGATCATGCCTCACTTCGGGACCAAGGATGATGGTACTTTAACCCTATTGCTTGATGGCTTCAATTCCTCCTTCAGCCTGCTAAAGTTTTATCCTAAGTACTCTATAGCTTGATGGCTAGAGTAATTTAACACTATAGCTTGATGACTTCAATTCCTCCCACTCTACTGCTCTACCGGACACTTCCATAATCCAATAACGAGATCATGCCTCACTTCAAGACCAAGTACCATGGTAATTTAACCCTACAGCTTCATGACTTCAATTCCCCTTCTGTTCACTAAAGTTTTAGCCTAACTGTGTTTTGACTTCGCTCATTTGTGCTCCTCATACAAGGATGGATTCCGTTTCATTACCAGAATGATCAGGTTAAAGAGAAAAATAAGTTTTTAACAATCTTCTTGTTTCTCCTCTCGTTTCATCTGTTATAATGATCTAACAGGAAGTTTATAAGGTTTTAGGCACCCATTTTGCGTAACCTATGTTTGCTGAACCTCTACTTTTTCCATTCTAAAGGATAACTTGACTGTACATATAGATAAATGAATAAATACATAAATATGCAAATACACACCCAGCGCTCATATTCGCATCTTAAAATTTTAGTTAGTAAGATTTCTCTATATGTGTTGAGCTTCATTATTAAGATGATAAAATTATAGTATTATCACTTCTCCCCCTCTTTTGTTTCAAATAGTATCATACTTCTGATTAGTTTTCTTCTCTTCCATCGTCAGGCATCATATAAATGATCCAGAATAAAACAATAATCAAGTGGCAAAATAAATGAGAACCTGTTCTTCATCCCACCAAGACTCCCAACTATTTTCTCCCTTAACGCCTACTCCTCCTCTGTAAAGAAGCCAACTTGTCCAATCATCAAAATCTTCCACAGTCCTGTTGAGGGCATAATTTTTTTGAGATGTCAAAATCTTTTTATTCCCCTCTAAAGGAAAAAAAGGCTTTGTTGATAACACAAACAGGAATCAATCAAGATGGAGGAAATATTAGATAATAAACCAATGGAAATAATTAATTTAAAAGGCAACTTACTTTTGCCACTCAAAACCTGAGGGATTGAAAATGTAAGGAGCAAAAAGCCAGGAGATGACAAGGAACCAACTGCTAATGGTTAGCAGAACAAATGTAACAGCACCTCCCCTTGTATACCCATATGCAATGTAGACTATTAGAAGCAATGCTACCTCGAGCCTGTTGCACATCATATATTAACTTCATTTTTTAGATCCCCAATTCCTCCAACCACAAACAAGAGAAAAAGAAAAACTACAAACAAGATACGAATATTACTCACGCTTTGACAAAGTGGCTACGAGAATACAGTCTATAGTTTTCAGCGAACTTTATGTGCTGAACAACAAACCCTCTACCAGTTGCTCGGTACTTTGGTTAAAAAAAAAAAAAAAAAAATACTGTGAGTGTCATAAAAATAAATAGCCATACATGGTTTCAATATTTAGAGGGAATGACCATCAAACATACTTTTGCACCCCCATGAAGTATGGTACGCCCAAAATAATGAGTTCTAGTTCCCAACGAGAATGTGAAGAAGACTGAACACAGCTGGAGTTGCATGGTAATGAAACTAAAAACAGCCTGGGAATAATTTCAAAAAAAGGATAATTATTGGATAAGAAAATAATCAAAATTGTTGAGGAAATTAATTCCAAGGCAAACTAACCTTCAGCAATCCTTTTTCAAGTATAAAACCCATTATCATTGGGATTGCGGTGAAAACTCCAATCTGGACCAAAAATTGAGCATTCAAAGCTGCATCAAGTGCTGTGTTACCCAGCATTCTTGCCTTCTTTGAGATTTGTTCATCAAGACCAGAGAAGGCCTGAAAGAGATAGAGGCATATTGCATGTTAGTATATTCAGGGCCGATACCATGCTCATGTTAATCCAAGTGTAAAGGTAGAACTAGAGACAATTGATATGCTGATTCCTACATAATCAATTGCCTTCTTACAAAGACTATGAGGTTGTTTCCCCACAGAGTTCTGACTATAACATGCAAAATCCAATAAACGTACTCTTTCCCTTCATGCAATAAATGAGGTTAGAATGTGGAAAAGGCCAGTGAAGGTATTTATGCAGATTACAGGCCAGGAAGCATGCTAGTAGTTGGTGCTGGGAAATTTTTTAAATTTTACAAAATCAAAGGCTCAGAATCGTATTATAGTTGGGGGCCTGCACCATGAACTTTGAAAGCCTCCATTTCATCTCGCTATAGGTTCACAATGTACGACCAATGACATCTAAAACATAATTGTACCATATATGCAATTTTCACATAAAATAAACAAGTAAAACCACCCCGAAAAACTAATATTCACTCACTCCTCAAAATTTTTTGATATTACATCAGATGTAATGATTAGCAATTCAGTGTTGAGAAAATCCGGATTAGAGTATTTTCTTTTTAACCATGATCAATGAGGATAAAAAGTAAAGAATATAATGATGGAAAAGGCTGTCATTTGTCACTGCTCAGTCCCATGAGTACAGGAGAGCACATCAAGACAGAATTAAAACACATTATGCCACACTTATAACACAAGAAATTGAAAGATATCTAAGACATAAAGAATAGTAACAAACTAACTAGACAGCAAATTCGAACACTAATAAGTCCAAGACAAGGAGCCCATATACTGGCCAATAACAGGCAATTTGTACTATAACACATGAAAACAATCATCCTGAATAGACAATGAACAAAAAATGGCAACATATTCCCTCAAACAAGACTGTCAAGATGAAAAGATGGTCCTTCAACTTTTATCAGCTTACCAGGTATACTCTTCCATACAAGAATATGTACACTGTGAGGACTGTCATCTGCAATGGAAATTTTTTTTTTTGGGGAGAAATTATTAAACTACTGCTAATCAAGAGCAAATTTCTGACAAAAAATAAAACCGAAACTACAAAAGGTTTATGTGGATACCATGGTGCAAACATAATAACCAACAGTTGTGTAAAAGAAGGAAAGCATTCTGAAGAAATCAAAAAGTTGTCCAAGTCTGTAAACGTCCCTACTAAGCACTTGCTCTCCATTACCACCCGCCACTTTGCCTTCAAAGAGAGCAATCTGGTTTAACCCAACATCCCTTCCTTTTCCAACCTAAGAGGGAGCCAGTAAACAGTAAATGAGAGAATATTATGCAGACGCACAACCTGACACTTTTCATTGTTCCCAGTTATATTCAACCTGAATGTATTCATGGTGCGTTATATTCCCCTGCCTCAATGTGGAGTTGAAACCTGCAAAATGAATATTTAAGCTCAATATGCCAGATCATAGCTAACAACAAAAGGTTGGAGACATGACAGAAACACTTCCATGTCGGGTGACAAATGTATGTCAAGTCATGCTTGTGGTAGATGGCTATGCCACATGTGCAAGTGATGAAAGGCTTATCAGCTTCTTGCAGTCATTCAATCATATAATCAACAACTAGGCATCAAATCAATGAAGTATAGAATAGAGATAACATGGATACAGAATCTATATAAAGACATGGATCAACATCTAAATGGGGTTTACCAAGTGCAAAGTTACAAATTGAAGATTTGCTGTCCCTTAGAGCACTATGCAGAGGTGTGGCAGCAAAGAATGTCACAAGCATCTGATGTCCCCCCCCCCCCCAAAAAAAAAAAAAGACAGAGAGAGGAAGAAAGGAAAACACTCCTTCGTTGAAACCAATACATTTTGAATTGAGCATAGCTCCTCAATTGAAGTGCTTGTTGTTAATATCATTGTTGCACTATACAATATCAGGCAGGCGATTTAAAACGAGTGATGCATATCACATGGTATGCTTTAATTGATGTATATATACTAAGGAAGCATTATCACTCTAAGGAACAAAGTTAGATAAGAATTTATACATTGCTATTCTCCACCTACAGTTCTTATTAGGCAAGAATAAAAATCATAATTACTTAGACATTGCTTTTCTCTATATGGATCTTTTAACAGCTAAGAATAAAACTAAAGTTGTGCTCTGGACGAGTGATGACAGGGGTCCTCCTATAAATGCATTGCCATATCTAAGGGATATGACAGACATTCGCTAAACATAAAACAAATATAAATTTATTGCATAAGCTGCTACATAAGAAGATTAACAAGTCACACAACTTCCAAGATCTACACAAAATGACAAAATCTCACTCTTTTTTATCTTTTTTGACCAGAAAACAAATCTCACTTTTTACTTACCAGAATATATATCTTCACTAATATTAATTACACGTGATGCCTTACTAATGCCTCCTCTAGTAATGTGGAATATTCGATCAAAAACATCAGGATGTCCATAGTGCATTCGAACTCTGCAAGATTTGTATCCAACCAAAAGTCATTGACTAATGTCTACAAGTTATGCGACTTGACTAATACAAAAGATCGTAATAGCATCATTTAAGAGAATGCAATACTGAAAAATATGCAGAGGCATATGAAATTGCGAAGTGAAAGATGACAGACGTGTAGTTTATGTCACTTGTGCTTCCGTAAAACCAGAGCATGAAAAGAAAGCACAAAACAAAGGAGAGAGGAGAACTATAGAAACGAGCATTCATTATTTTATCTAAAATTTAGATTTGCTGGTTCATGTGATTTTAGCCTATTATTTTTCTTGTATGATTTAAATAATTTATTGTCGTTTAAATCAGCTGCTAACTATATGAGTTAAGCAGTTTCTTCAAGGCTTGAGATTGTTGTGAAGAAAACTAGACTAAGACAAGGGCTTCTTTATCGATTTAAAGATTGATTAGAGAGCTCTTGGGAGCTAATATTTGTTCATTCTTTTAGCTGTTTTGTTCAAGCCTTGGAAGGATTACTTGTCCTCCATTGGCTCTACGGCTCTCTTTCACTCAAATTCTCTGTTAACATGATCATGTCACCTGAGGCACACCTTCAAATATGAACTTACATTGATACAGAATGAATATTATGATAGGTCCCAACCCACTGCTAGCCAGAAAGACGCCCCAAGAGATGGAGAAGCGGCAAACTGGCAGAAAATTGGGGGGGGGGGGGAGGTGTATTGATCCAGCAGATAACAAAGAAGTTGAAGGTGGAGGTCCAAAAGAAGTGAATAATGATGAAGAGTAAGGGGAAGCGCTTAAAAAGTTGTTAGTGGGTTTATAAAGAAATTAGCTAAGAGGATGAAGGAGGAAGACGACAACTTTGGTTAGGGTTCTGGACGGAGAATGTCACCCTCCAAAAAGTTGGCACAACACTCATATTTTAGGGGCTCTGATTTGTGGTCTTCTAGGATGTGTTCGTCTAGAATGTATCTAAGTCCTTTGTTCATCCTATGTGCTAGAAACTGCAACCATTGTTCTCACTCTATCAGTGTCATTCACAACATTTGTGTTGTGCAGAGGAATCTCAAAAGCCCTTTCATCATTCTGTGTTTTTGTTTATATATCTGTATTCTGGGCGTAATGGGAGTGTTAGGAGGATCTGGTAATCTAATATAATGTAATATTTGTTCAGTTAGAATAGTAAAAACTCAAATTTCCCAGTTAGTTCATGTCTATTCATATAGTTCTAACTCTAGTTTTTAGTTTTGTTTCAATTTCTACAGCACTGAATTATTAAAAATTAACCATTAAAAGTCCAATAGAATTTTTAACTTTGAAAAGCTAATCAAACATACTACAAAAATCCAGCATCTCAAAAGTATCAAAAACAACTGAAGAAAAATAACGACTAACAAAGGGAGCTTTTGATAGTAATGCCATAAAATGCAGAACATGCAAGCTAACTCCAAAACAGAGCACGATGGTCTAAATGAAAAGCAATCCACAACAAGTCAAAGATGAATATGCGATTGAAGCATAAACTTCATGGAAAGGGATCATTGAAAGATGCTGTTAAAATGTACACATCAATGAGTTTCATATGTTTCATCTCATACAGATTATCTACGTCAAATATAACTCACTTGAGAGGATTTGCTAGAACACGCTGGCCCAAAGTTACAAAGCTAGTTTCTTGATTTGACATGAACCAGGCCAAGGATGAGACACTGCAGAAGGGTCATACATGTAGTTAGTAAGCAGGTCAATTAGAGCAACAAAAGCAAAATGGCATCATTTTGATTTTCAAATTTTAGTAGGCCAATGCCAAACCTTCCAGTAAAAACATGCTCTCTCACTCCAAGAATAGTTGGGGGCCGTAAGCCATGATTGCCACGGAATTCATCAAGAAGATTTCTCATTTTCATTGTCTCTTCTAGATAATTATCCTGTACAACAAAAGAGATCAAGTCAAACTATTTTCAAATTTTTTCTATGGCCAAATCATTTAAGGCATGCATGCACACATGCACACACTCCCACACGCCTGCACACTGAGAACAAGATTAAAGAATAACAAAGTAAAAGGAGAATTCAGGACTCCCCTGATAGGATTCTTGTAATTATACTCGAGTTACATCAGGATTTCTCATTGAGGATTGCCAGTAAATATGTTAGTAGTCATTTAAGGAAATCCTTCAGATTATATGAGGCAACTGCCGCTAAGATCTCATGTCACCAATTCTAGAAGATTTGAGCTATTATGATTTAATGTTTTATTATTCATCTAATTACCAAATTCTGTTCTGCTCGTCAGGAGCACTATTTTCTAATTTATTGTTCCACATTCTCTCTCTGAAATCACTCCTTCTTACTTCTTATGTAGTATTGAGTAGCAGGATTACTGATGCCAATCCGATGAGAATTATGCACTAATGAAGTCCAAACAACCAAATATGAAATTAACAGTGAGTGAATCTAGGTTAGAAATCTAAGCACACACTGATATTATATCAATATTCAAATTACTCCCCTCTTCTGAGACCACTCTCCAATGTACATACAAAAAGCTGCTGTTAGCATTGTTAGGGAGAAGAGAGTAGAAACAAGAAAATCCTAATTCACTCAACACCAATTACATCCATCAACCCCCTATTCATAATCTTAACACCTATATTCCCAAACTACTCCTGACCTTATCCCTAATTTCCACGTATCAATATACTCCCCCTTAGGAAAGATCCTTATCATCAAGGATTGGTACAAAAGCAGGGGGAAAAAACACACACATACATACTTAAATTAAAAACCTTCACTCTCTTTCTGTTTTTCCTCCCTTTTTTCCCTAAGACCTTAGTTGCAAACTTATAAGGGAAAAAGAAATCAGTAGTTAATGGGTATCGAAACCCAAGCCTGCTGTAGTAATTGTTTAGTCCAGAAGCCTATCATAACAACCCAGTCAGCTTTGGTGCCAACACCCAACGAGTCAAGACCCATAATTGTTTAACAAGTCCATACTTCTCCCACCACAATCCAAGAATTCCTTTGATCCACTAGCTCATTTTAGCTGGCCCAACTCCTTGTTTGGACAATTTTTGCAAATACCTTTGAAGCAGAGCAAAAAGAACAGCAATCACATGTTCAGTACGCTCCAAAGATGTCCAAGTGCTCACATACCCGTGCTCGCTCGGATCTTTTCCAAGATCCCCACCTGAACCGACAACAAAATTTCCCCAAACCAATTTGTTTTCGCATCATCCTTGGCCTCCATCAGTTGAAACCCCTTCTCTTGTTTACAGATCGAAGAATAGCTTCGATGAATGTAGTGGAATTTGTGTGAGTGAGGGGAAGAGTCCTAGCAGCAATGGAGGGTCAAAATCAAAGCACTCGAGCATCATTCTGTCATAGCATTCTTCCATAGTCTTTGATATTGACGTAATCTCCACACCTTTCCCAAGCATCATTTTGTCATAGTGACTGCCTTGAAAACCATAATCATCGTTGCCAAGTTGGTTGCGACATTGGCCCCTCTTCGTCACAGCAAAAAGATCAATCAGGGCTCAGAATATAAGTGGTAAGCCCTTTGAGCTCAATGAAAGCTTAGTCATGAGGGAAGGAACTGAACAAAGAGAGACTGAAAAATTCTGTATATTCTTGATTGGTAAAGCCCATTACATAAATAGTATATTTGGGATGCAAACAGCTATAATATCCCATTATTCTAGCCTATGATTAAGGAGATTTTATCATAATTACAAGATATAATAAATCTGCTATAAGGGAAGGGAATAATTATTAATGGCAGAATAAAATCCCTGAAAGCTAGGAGATTATTACGCTAACACTCCCCCTCAAGCTGGTGAATAGATATTTATCATTCCTAGCTTGCGACATAACTCTTCAAACTTGGAACTAGGTAGTCCCTTAGTTAGCAAATCTGCTGTTTGATCACCTGACCGAACATAAATTATTTCAGCCTGCCCTAACTCAAGTTTTTCCATAATGAAGTGTCTATCTATCTCTATGTGCTTAGTGTGATCATGATGCACAGGGTTCTTGGCAAGGCAGATTGCAGACTTGTTATCATAATATAGTGTCATCTTAGGATCCATTTTAATTTTCAGCTCTGTCATAAGCCTTTGGATCCAAATACCTTCACATATACCAAGTGCTACTGCACGGTATTCAGATTCAGTACTGCTTCTAGACACAACATTTTATTTCTTGCTCTTCCATGTAACCAAATTCCCCCACAAGTAGGTAAAGTAACCACAAGTTGATCTCATATCATCTTTGGTTCCTCCATAGCCCGCATCAGTGTATACTTCCAGATTCCTTGCCCTTCCTTTTCTGAAATGAATACCCTTGCCTGGGGCTAACTTTAGATAGTGCAATATTTTGTATGCTATTTGCATGTGTACCTCTCTAGGTTGATGCATAAACTGGCTAATAACACTTACTGGGAAGCATATGTCAGGACGGGTATGAGAGAGGTAAATAAGCTTGCCCACCAAACCTTGGTACCTTTCAACATTAACTGGTTCTCCAGGATTTTCAAACATATTCTTGAAATCAGGGAACATTGAATTATCTTCAGGACTTGCTCATAACATGCCGGTTTCCTTGAGTAGATCAAGGGTATATTTTCTCTGTGAAACAGTTATTCCTTTGCTTGAGCGAGCAACTTCCATTCCTAGAAAGTATCTCAAACTTCCTAGGTCTTTTACTTCAAAATTTGTTGCTAGGGATGTCTTCAATTGCTGTATTCCTTCCAAGTCATCACCTGAGATCACAATATCATCTACATAGACTATTAGTATCACCATTTTACCATTAGGATTATGTCTCACAAACATAGTGTGTTCGGCCTGGCACTGATAATACCCTTCAGCTTTGACAGCTTTTGAGAATTTCTCAAACCATACTCTAGGTGATTGCTTTAGACCATAGAGGGATTTATAAAGCCGGCATACCTTTCCACTAGTTTTTTCTAGGCCAAGAGGAGCATCCATGTAAACTTCCTCTACTAGATCGCCATTTAAAAAAGCATTTTTGACATCCAATTGGTGTAAGGGCCAGTCTAAATTTACAGCAAGTGAGAGGAGAATTTTAATTGTATTAAATTTAGCTACAGGAGCAAAAGTCTCCTAATAGTCTATTCCCTCTGTTTGTGTGAACCCCCTAGCCACCAATCGAGCTTTATATCTATTGATGCTCCCATCTGGATTGAATTTCTTGGTGAATATCCACCTGCACCCAACTGTTGGTTTTCCTGGTGGTAAATCAACCAGTTTCCAGGTTCGGTTCTTTTGCAGTGCATCTAGCTCCTCCTTTATGGCCTCTTTCCACTTGGGGTGCTTTACAGCTTCGTGGAAATATTCTGGTATCTTCTCTTCATCTAGCTTAGTGACAAAAACCTACATTTTAGGTGACAATTTGTCATATCCAATAAAATTGCAAATGGGATGTTTCGTACAGCACCTCTTGCCTTTCCGTAGGGCTATGGGCAGATCTAGATCCAACTCCTCAGAACTAGAGGTAGGGGTAGAATCATGTTCTAGCATGGGAACTTGGACAGATTCTTCTGGGTCATTATCAGGTTCCTTTGATCCAGCATTTGGGACGTTCTGTTTCAGCCTTCTCTTATAGATAAAGACCTCCTTCTTGTGTTCCTTTGCTCCCCCTACATTTATATCTACTGCCTCCTTAGTATTGCCATTCATAGGTGTAGGTTCAACACTTTTGGTGGTGTTTTTATCAGTTTTCGGTTCAGGTTCTAGATCTGTAACAGGTTTAGGTTCAGTGCTGTTTTGGATATTTTGGTGGGATTCAAGATGTTCAGGAATGTGTTCAGGGCTAGGTGCTTGGGTGGTTGTTTCTGTTTCAAGTGTGGGATTAGGTATAGTAGGCAAAGGCCAAAAAGTCTGTTCACTCTCAAAATTCTCCCCCTGAATAGACATTTTTGGGTAATAGGATTGTTCTTCAAAGAAGGTGACATCCATGGACACAAAGTATCTTTTAAGAGTGGGAGAATAGCACCTATAACCCTTTTGAGTTGCTGAATAACCTAAGAAAATGCATTTACGAGCCCTAGTATCAAGTTTATTTCCATGCATGTTGTGAACAAAGGCAACACAACCAAAAACCTTTTGAGGGACCGTGTTTACTAAAGGCATTGAGGGATAAATTTCAAACAACATTTGCAATTGGGTTTTGAATTTGAGGGTTTTTGAAGGCATCCTATTGATGAGAAAAGCAGCAGTAAGGACAGCATCTCCCCAAAATTGATTTGGAACATTTCTGGTGAACATGATGACTCTAGTAACTTCTAAGAGGTGTCTGTTTTTTCTTTCAGCAACCCCATTTTGTTGGGGTGTGTGGGCACAAGAAGTTTGATGAATAATGCCATAAGAATCAAGATATTTACTGAAGGATTGGCTTAGGTACTCTTTTGCATTATTACTTCTAAAAATTTGAATTTCAGTCTTAAACTGATTTTGAACAAATTTATGAAAGGTTTTGAAAATGTCAAAGACTTGGGATTTTTCTTTCATGAGATAAACCCAGGTAGTTCTTGTGTGGTCATCAATGAAGGTGACAAACCAACGGTGCTAGTTGACAGTGTGAGTTCTAGAGGGTCCCCAAATATCACTGTGAATAATGGAAAAGGGTTTGGTAGGTTCATAATCTCGCAAGGGATATGTGTTCTTAGTATGCTTAGAGAATTGGCAATACTCACATGATAAAACATCAACTTTATTAAATAAACTTGGATACAAGAACTTCATATATGAAAGACTAGAGTGTCCAAGTCTATAATGCAGCAATTCAACATTATTATTTTTAGAGACAGCAGCAGCAAACTTCTTCCCATGATCCATGACTAGGTAGTACAATCTGCCAAGTTCCCTAGCTTGTCCAATCATCTCCCCCAATCTCATGTCCTAGAAAATACAACAATCAGCATAAAAAATAGCAATGCAGTGAAGCATTTTTGTAATCTTGCTAATAGCTATTAGATTACAATCAAGACCCGGTACAAATAGAACATCACTAGTTTAATATTCTCTGTAAGATCAACTGTACCACTTCCTTGAATTTTGGTTCTATCTCCATTTGCTACTTTAATCCCTTGATTCCCCACATATTTTTGGAGACTAGAGAAAACAGTATAATCTCCACTCATATGATCAGTGGCACCTGAATCCACTATCCAAGTGTCATTAGGGAGGTTTGTAACTATTAAACAAGTATGTATAATACCTGATCGTGCTAGGTTACTAGCACTTATATTCTTATCTGGTTGCTCATGTTGGCTAAGAATTTTCTTGAGCAAATCTAGTTCAGTGGAAGATAGCAGGCGACCTTTGGAATTGTCTTCTTCAGGTGCACTTGTTGCAGTATTGCTTCTTCCTTCAGTTCTCTGCCTTGACCTTAAATTTGGAGGCTTTCCATGCAACTTCCAACAAGTGTCACGTTTGTGGCCACTCCTTTGACAATGGTCACACCACCCTTTCCCTTGTTTCTTGTCTAGTTTCTGCCCTACACCTCCCTTGGTCATCAAGGCTGATGAATCTGCAACAACAACCGGGGCACTTTGAGTGAGTTGTCGTTGACTTTCCTCACATTTCACAAGGTTGACTGTTTCTGCAACAGATGGCAGTGGACGTGTGGCTATGATTCTGGCTCGAACAGCTTCATATGCTAGATTGAGACCTAGCAAAAATTCATAGACACGTTGGCGTTCTACGAGTTTCCTATAACAAGCCATATTAGCATTACATTGCCACTGTTGGGGGTCATATAAATCCAATTGCTGCCAGAGTTTCACAAGAGTGGTATAATATTGAGTGACAGAATTACTTCCCTGAGTTGTCTCACAGAGAATCTTTTGAATGTGAAAGAGTGCAGCAGTGTTCTCAATAGTAGCATAAGTAATCCGAGCATTCTCCCAAATTTCCTTAACACTGGTTGCCAGAACAAACTGCTCATTAATCTCATGTCATGGAGTTGATAAGCCAGCCCATGACTTGATTGTTCTCGGCAACCCAGGTCTGGAATTTCTGATCTGTGGACTCAGGTTTCACAGCAACATCTGTCAAGTAGTGTTCTTGTCCCTTTCCTCTGAGGAACATCAGCATGGCGTGAGACCACTGTAGGTAGTTGTGTCCATTCAGCCGGTGGTTGGCTGTTGGGGACGGATTCTCTATGGTCTGCGGAACAGAAATATTGGAGAGGTTCCGCATTTTCGGCACTCCATCATTAGAACCTGAGTCAGTTTTTTGTTCTGAATCAACCTGGAATGCTCCCATCGAACCAAAGGAAATCATCTCTGTTTGCTTTGTTCGTGCTTTGATACCATGAACAAAGAGAGACTGAAAAATTCTGTATATTCTTGATTGGTAAAGCCCATTACATAAATAGTATATTTGGGATGCAAACAGCTATAATATCCCATTATTCTAGCCTATGATTAAGGAGATTTTATCATAATTACAAGATATAATAAATCTGCTATAAGGGAAGGGAATAATTATTAATGGCAGAATAAAATCCCTGAAAGCTAGGAGATTATTACGCTAACAAGAACTACTATGGGAAGGACAATAACCGAGATGAGGTCCATGATGTTTTGTTTGTGTAGTGAGTAGCAACACTGGAGGTTGGCCGACCCTAAGACTTAGAACAAGTAGTGACACCAGCGATTGACCGTGCTTAACTCCCAAATTGACCGATGTCTTGGGCACTCGAAGGTCGCATGTTCAAGTTGCAAATGCCAGAGTAATTGGAGCAGAGAGGAGCAGAGGTGTGTTCTTTGTGAGATTGTGAAGTTGTGTGGAAGCAACAGCTGTTTCAGAGGACCTAAGTCGATGGGTAGAATCGACTTCGAGGATAGTTTCATTTTCTCCTCATCATTGGTACGTTTTTCTTTGTCAGCTCCAAGTTTATCAATTTCGTCCTTGCCATTCAGACGTGTAGCGAAATCATTAGTTTCAGAGTACTTGTCATTGTTTGAATCACAATCTTGAACGCCTAGTCGAGTACTCCATTTTCAGGTTTTTCAATCTGGTCATCGACTTCCTTCATTTCTACTAGCGCGTTCTTCATCTCTTCAACAACAATAGTGAGATCCAAAATCTCACCAGATTCTTCAAGTTCAGCATGATTCAAAATCTTGAATTCCATCGGCTCAATCATTCCATATTCCTTGTCAGCTAAGGAAATGGTTTTGTGGTCAGCAGCAAGACACAGAGAAGAAATCTGAGCAGATATCTCCTTCACCATATCTGCTAAACGAGTGGAAGTGTGCTTCAGGTCAGTAATGGCGAGAGTATTCTGATCCAAACGGTTGTTGATAGAAGTAAGGGTGGCTTGGTGAAACTCGAGACAAGCTCCAAGTCGTGAAAATCATTGAGGTAACCTCTGGCAACGGCGACGGCGGCCACAGGTCTAATACCTTTGTTAGCATTGGAAGGAAGAAGAGAGTAGAATTAAGAAAATACTAATTCACTCAACACCAATTACATCTATCAAACCCCTATTTATAATCTTAATACCTATATTCCCAACTACTCCCAACCTTATCCCTAATTCCCACATATCAGCTGCTTAGAAAATCATGCCACAATCCATGGGATACACAAGCCAATCCTTTGAGCAGTGTGTATGCTTGAGCAAAACAGCATTTTCATTTTCACAAACAAATCTAGATATAAGAAATTGTGAGAAATGCCAAGATTCATTCTCTAGTATGAAATACCATGGGATTTCAAGGGATCTTAGTAAGAAATATATGCAGTTACTAGTATGAAAATGAGGAATAGTCATGTAATCATAACATTTGCTGTGAGTAGTCAGCTATTGGGCAGGAGTTATGGTGCCAAACTATTGCTGTTATTCAATGCATACATATAGATAAAACACACCCCCAATACATCATTTGTACTAAATAAAACTCATCCATTCAATACACCTGTACATCTGTTTGACACAGTTTAAATTTTTCAGTATTTCAAACATCTTAACCAGACCTTAATCGGCTAATTGAATTTGTCACAATTATAGTAATGGCTCCAGCCACATCCTTATGTTCAAAATGCGTGTGCGTGAGTGAGTGAGAGAGAGAGAGAGTTGCACTAATTTTGGTGATCTATGTGAATTCTGGATATCACATATTCTCTCAACGATGTTTAATAATAAAAGGACTAGAGTATTTAATTAAGACTAAAGATTAGTTACTATTAGATATCATTAGATTATGATTGGATTTGGATTAGATATTTAATTTAATTAGGTTTAGGATTACCCATGACTTACAGAGAAGGATAATCATCAGTCTTATTCTATTATGTTTTGACTTCCTGAATTATTAAGTATAATTCCAGTTTCTATTTCTACTCACTCTCTATTCTTTTCTCTTTCGCCTATCTTTCCACAACCACCCTATCAGTGTGGTTTCTTAATTACCTCACTTTTATTTACATTTATCTCATTGTTATCCTTTCTATTTGATTGATAAGTTAATATATTTTGATTTACAGTCAGCAGATTTTGCATTCTTACAGGATTGATTGCACTTCTTCCATAAATGCATAAGAAAAATCAGAGCAAGTTTACTCCAAAAATTGATATCATATCAGAGCGCCACAAAAGACATTTGAAATCTTAAATGCTCTACATTATATGTATACTAAGTTTAAAATCTCAAAGCAAGAAAGAAACTCCACGTAAACGACATAGAAAACTTTTCCTTATATCCATTTGTACACTTGGATAAAAAGAGGTCATTTTTGTGTAATTACCAGATGACAATGAAGAGTAACAGATAAAACGATGACATATTTGTACCTGGTTCATATCAATTGTTTGGACAGCATCACCCCGAGTGAAAATTATAGCATGGTTTTGGTTTTCAGGCTTTCCTTCACCAAGCTTCGGATCCCCAGGAAGTCTGATAGAATATATTTCCTATGCACAAGAAGAAACACTTACAAGCGTTAAGCACCATTAATGACAACTCAATTCAAGGAATGGAAAGACCAGCTATCTCACCAAACTGACAAAGTTAGAACATAATTTAATAAGCCACAAACATTCAAAAGACTAAACAGGATGGAAACATCAAAAAACTTCAAAATGCACTACTTCAGAAAAGCAGTCATATTCACAATGACCTTGAACATTGACTGACAAAGTATTCTCACTCTTCTTTCTCTGTTTTTTTTTTCCCAATAAGGAACGGTTATAAAAGAAAACAATATAACCAAGGAGGGCAAGGAATTTAAAAAGAAGAAGAAGCAATTCGTGGCTTAAAATAGTTTGCCAATGCCTTTGAAAATCCATAAGGGAAGTACCCACTAAGATTGTTATGTAAAAAATATATATCATGGAAGAAAAAAAAAAGATATCCCTCTCAAAACATAGATGTAAACAAAAAAATTAACCGAAATACTAGGGCTGAGCATGCAACCCGGAACCTAGCCGCCTACTCGCCCGCCCACAACCCATAAAAATTAGGCCCATCTAAGCCCACCCAAAAAAGAAAATAAACAAGCGGGTTTACAAATTAAATGGGCAGGCTACAGGCATAGGCACAGGCTACCTGTCCCCTCCCATTTAGTTTTTTTTTTTTAATTGAAAAAAATACAGGTCAAATATGCCTTAGTCACTAGTTAGGGGCTTAGGACAAATTACAAGTCCAGTCCAGATTCAAGGCCCATTTCAGTGGCAGTGCTCTGTCCATCTCTCAATCACTCGGTGTCCCTGTCTCCAAGTCCTCAAGTGTGACTGTGAAGTCCATTACTCCAAAGTCCAAACCACTGCAGTACTGCACAGCCTCGTCTCTCACTCTCTCAGCCTCTCACAGCAGTTATAGCTCACCCACCCCACACCTAATTGCTTTGCTGCTCACTTAGTCACTCTTCGGTGAGTTCGATCTTCAACTCACAATCACCGTATTCGGCACTCTCAGGCTCTCAGCTCTCAAGCAGACAGGCACTCATAGCCACAGTTGCGGACACTGACTCACCGATTTCCCCTCTGCGTCTCACCTTGTCTTTCAAGTTTTGTCTTCGCCAATTCACCAGCCGCGCAGACGAAAATCGCCAGTTCTCACTTCGCCAATCGCACAAACGCAAAGTCCCTCTCCCTCTCCCAACTCAATCTTTCAATCTCTTGCTGGTTCTAGGCTCCCAGCTTGCCAGCTCGATCTCTCAGTCTCTCATGCAGGATCACCGCTCCCAGCCTCCCAACTCAATCTCTCGGTCTCTCACTCAGTAATTGAAGAAATAATACTTAGATCTTTTGTCTCTCCCAGCCTCCCAACTCGACTAGGCTAGTGGATTTTCCGGCTTGCTGAAGGAGAAGCTAATGATTATGATAACGACGAAGATTGATGATGATGACAAGTGATTAATCCTTTAGAATTTTATATTTGCGGTTGTCCTCTTTTAAAGCTTGAACATTAGAAATTTATAAAAATGGTTTCTGATTGTATGGACTATGGAGTATGGATTTTGATTAATAGTATTATGATTTTCATGTCTTTTGAATTCAACTCCAGATCTCATTTTCTTAAACAAGTTCCCTGTAACCAGTTTAAATCCGCCCATTTAAATCAGCCCGTTTAGCAATGAGCTTAAATGGGTTACGTACAGATACGGGCCTACCCAACCTGCTCGTTACTCAGCCCTAGAAGATACAAAATTCAGGAGTTACCAAGAAATTTATCGCGCACAATCTTGTATAAAAAGTTAGAATAAACTCCTTAGTTATTTTCAAACTATTTTCCAAAAGAAAAATCATAAAACTTTAGTACCAAGAACACCATATTGATGAACATTGCATGTGTTCCACTACCAGTTAACAAAACCCAGTTTTATAGAAGCAACTTTTGGTTGCATTTGCAAAACATGCATTTTCAGTCAATCAATGTAAAATTTATCATTACCCATGATAGAAAACCACTAAAATTAATCAAAATGTGAATCTGTAAAGAAATAGATGAACAACTAAAAATACCAAGCACCTCTGGCATGACCTCGCTATTGATTTTGTCATATTAATGGAATCATACCAAAAAACCAACAAGAAGCAGCCTTATCCCACTAGATGGAATCAGCTACATGAATCACATGACGCCATTATGCTATGTCAACAACCCAATCCTTATATATGTTGTTGACCAAAAAGTCTCATTCAATGATCTTATTGAGTGTTCTTCTCAGTCTTCCTCTGCCTTTTTTTATGAGATGCCATACTCTCTGATCTACCCTCCTCACCAAGGCCTCCAATGGCCGTCTCTCTGCACATGTCCAAACCACCTTAAATGATATTCAATTTCTCTTGGCTAGGGGTTACACCGACTCTTGCTTTGATATTTTCATTTTGAATCTTATCTTTTCTTGTATGACCACACATCTATCTCAACATCCTCATTTCTGCTACTCCAACTTTATGCTCTTGTTTTCCCTTTATCGCCCAATATTCACTGTCATATAACATAACTGGTCTTATAGCAATCCGATAAAATTTTTCCTTAAGCTTCTCAAGTACCTTTTTATTTCAAATAACTCTGGTAGCCTTCCTCCACTATAACTCGGCCTATATAGTATAGCTGGTCCCAAGCTCCGATAAAGGAGGAGGGTTGCGTTAAGCCCTCGACAGCCAACATAAAAACTCGTCAAATCTCATAAACATGGATCAACGAAGTAATTATACCAAAAAACCAAGCAGACCAAAAATCATCTATACATATTTGGTATAATCCATGAAGAGAGAAAAGGTACATGATACAGGTTCAAAACAGAGCATATTATTATTATAATTGTTAAACTTGGTCCATCCTGAAATAACTACATTTCACTGCCCCTTCCCGAGGGGGAATAGAAAATTTTAAATTTCAAAATATTACGAAGATCTCTGCCCAATTCCATGCATAACAACACAATGTCATGTTTTGAGCACTGGCATATAGGTTATCATAATATCAATCATCAAAGTAGATATTGTCCAAGGAAACATTTCTTCACCTGATCTTTTCCATTTATATCAGCTTTGACAAGCTTTGAATGAAATTCCCTTGAAATCTTTCCATCCTTTGCACCACTCTCCTCAACATGAATGAAAGCAACACGGAGAGCCTCATTCCTGATAACAAGAAAAGCGTACTTTGAAGATGCTAATAAAAAGGACAATCAGGACAGAACAAGTCCACATCACGTTTTAATCCACAACAAAACTTGTATCAGCACTTGGTATCTAATAGGTATGACATTCAGTGTCAACCTCTCCAGTTAGAATTGTTGTAAATGTTGTGAAGCTTGTAATTAATTGAGGGCTTCTAATTCTGAAGAATCTCCAGATCTAATGTAGTCTTCAAATTAATTACAGATATGACCATATCATTTATTCGTCCCAATTATTTGCAACCTCTTTTTGACTCATCCACGATATTCTCTAGCCACTGGGCACTTATTGCAAACTATTATTTATTTTACTTTACCTCCTCCTTCAGATTATATGATTCTTCACTTCCTGACCATTTATATTTGTTCTCGTGTTCTTTCTCGTACCAGATATTTCCAGTCCATTTTCAAGAACATGTACATCGTGGAATTCAAACAAACACAATAATCACTTCAGTTCAATGCAGTCACACTTGTATTATTTGAGGAAAACCAAGAGATACACACACAAAGGAGAGTAAATGAAGAAAAGGAAATAGATATCATTAGATGTTCAAAGAGTTAAAAACAACCAAAGAGGTCTCTGATGAGGTGTTTATGGAGGTAACAAATAAATGGTAAAATGGTATGACAATAAGGAAAGCAGTTTCTTGTTTCTCATTTCACAACAGAAGTAAAATGCAGGTTCAGCGGTCAATATTACGTACATCATTCATGACTCACTCAGGGAATACTCCTAAACATCTTCAAAAAATATGAAAGTCAATCATATCACGTTGTCTCGATTTGCCAACTCTCCCAAATATAATAATTCAGGATGTGAAGGGGGAAAAAACATTGCTAAACATAAAAACAGACCTTGCTAAAAGGAATGAGTACAAAATGTTCATTACCCGTTACACCACTTCAAAAAGAAATTTAACAGCAAACCAGAAACCAAATCACAAATTTCATACCTTTGTAATAACAGAGCTATATCAGCAGCTTCAGGTGCCTTCCGCTGCTTTTGTTGCCCATAAATTTGGCATGATACTACATACGTAAACTTCAAATCTGCTTGAGCCCGTGACTCGCGTGACAGCTCAAACCCTCCACTTGTGATGAAATTGTTTTGATAATTGTCATTCACTATTGAGGCAACAGATGGAAATAAATATCAATACAACTATACAACAAAAAATGGACAAAAAAGAAGGAAAGAAAGAAAATCATAAGCCAAAAAAAACATTATAATCTAACCACCTCCAATCGATCTACTCTCCAAATAACTCTGTAACATCAAAGCCCTCCTATAATACATCATACCTCGTACTGCATTATGAAAGAAGTTAAACGATCAAAAAAATATGCATGATAACAACTAGCCAGAAAGTATATTAACAAAATGCAATCTGTTGTCAAGGAAAGGAATTGTATGCATTTATCACCTGTCCTGGCTAAAGTCTGCCCTCGATAAGATGCCCAAAAACGAAGCTCTAGAGAATCACTGGAACTTTCATGAAGGTCCGCATCACCAGTGGACACATCTCGACCAATTCTTTCAAGAAAGTTGTTCCATTCATCTGCAATCGTCATTTATTTTGAGTGTGTTAATAGGGACAAAAATCAAAAACCTAGATGGCTGGGCCATCTCAAAATAACTTTACTTTTTAGGATAGCTTCCAGAAAGACATCAACCAACATTATTGGTTTTTAACAAAAGTACTATACCAAACTGATTGACACCCAATTGGGGTGTGATGGAATCCACCTCCATATTGATATTCAAATGGTAACAAACATTGCAAGAGTATGATCCGAGCATCTGGAAATACTGAACATATGCATAAAACAAAGATGCAGACACAAACAATCACAAATGCTCAAGCTGTTTGAGACCCTAATCTATCCCAACTTTTGCTCACTGGTTCCTTATCTTCCCTCAGACCCCATTCCCCACAATATATTTCCCGCTACTGCTCTCTCTCTCTCACTCTCACACACACTCATACACAAATGCATACACACTTAACCACCTCCACACAGCTCACAGCCCATGAATTAGTCACCAGTTAGGCCTATTAGTTATCAGGCCCATCATAACTACAAGTAATTACACTAAATAAAGGGGACTGAGAAGTCTTCTTAGTCAAGAATCAGACACAGCAGGCTTAGAAAAATAAAATAGTCCTTACATATGGAAGTGACTGGATCAAAAAGTCAAATAGCTACGCACTAAATTATTTACATGTTGAATTTAATAGAGGAAAAAAGTTGCAACTTGATTTATCTCTCATTAGATTGAATATTAGCTTCCTGATTTGTCTGATGAGTCAATATAAAATAAGCCTAATACACAAAATTTAAAATCCGACAGAATACTTCAATATTTGAAAATGACACCTGGCAAGGTATTTACTTCAAGAAGGACACAAACAAGATCGTGGAAGTATACAGGGATGCAAATTGGGCTGATTCGGCAACTAACAAGAACCACCTTGGGTAGGGAGGCAACCTTGTGAGTTTAAAAAGCCAAAAGATAGAAGTTGTCGCCACAAGAAGCACAAAAGCTATGTTCAGGCCACAAGCACATTGGATATGTAAAGGTGTCCAGTTGAACAGAATCCTTAAAGAACTAGAGTTCTCAGAAGGGCAAATAAGAGGTATGTATGACAAAATCGCATCAACAGACATTCCTAAAAATCTTGTTTATCACAGGATTGAACATCTGATATTGGTCATTTTTTCATCACAAGAAAGATGGAGATGCAGATTGCTGAGTTTGCAGGAAGTGGGCCTGCGGCCATATTATGGGGCCTCCCATGTGTTAACCTAGTTTTGTCGTTTAATTAGTCAAGTCATTATCTCCAATATCATATCATTCCATATTTATTATGTTGTCTCTCAGTTATCATTTTCCGAGATCCCAGGAGATCATCAGAGGATGAGACCTGATTCTATCTACTCAAGTCCTCTATATATGTAACGTTGCTCTATCAACAAAATTCAGAGCTGCTTCCCTACGTTTATTTCAGAGTGAATATGCACTCCATTGCAATTCCCAGTGGCAAACATCAAAGGCTGCGCTCAGAATTAAATATTAAGAATTAAGCTGCAAGTTGCATATGCCTAGCGTATACAACCCAACCAGAGGGAAAGTTTTGAAATATCTTGTTTTTGCTTTTGGTGTATTATATATGACTGCACTCATGATATATTGGACTAAAAAGTATTAAACAGATTACTTTATTCTCTGATTTGCTTCTTATTATTACCATAAGATTATTGTTGAAGGGCGTCAGCAACCTTTGTTGAGGACCATTTTCAGTTTCGTGACCTTTTCATGCATTATTTTATTTGAGTAACATCAGCACTTTCAAGACTTTTTACTTTATTTTTCTTTCGTCAACATATATATTCCAGTTCTACCCCTTATTTAAGCTGATTGGAATATTTTACTTTTTGAATTATTTTTTGCTCATTCTATGAGAATAGTACGGGTTATTATTGTTACCATCTTCCCTTCCTATGCACTTGCTTTTCCATTCTGAATGACATAACTCAATGAACAATGAGTTTATTTATAATAAAACCATGTTACAAACCTCAATAGCTTAAACGTTTAAGTGAAATTATTCATGACTGGGTATCAGAGCTTTGATGAACAAGCTGTCAAGAATTCAACTCCCATCACATCCATTTTTCATAATTTAATTAAATTCAAGAAGTACAGGTCTTACACTTTGCTCACATTTCTAGCCCAATAGCTATCATTTGAGGGTACACATTAGACATTGTTAGAGATCGTAATAGAACTATTGATGGGATTTCACTTGACAACCTAACTTTTGGCAGAATGGCCCTTGGTAAATATTATAACAAAATTATTCCCAAGCCTTTACTTAATAACTTAAGCATTTTAGTTGAAAGAACCCATGACAATTCTCATTAGTTACAACACAAAAGAGAAACGTTGTTTCATAATTTAAAGATAAAAATCACTGCCAAACATAATCACAAACAACTTAGACTTCAAAGTCTGGAAACAAACACGTGTTTATTCTCAGGAAGCCAAGCTCAAAAGAGAAGACAATACCTGGAAATATCTTTTGCAGATAGAAAATAATAGATATACCATCTTCATTCTCCTTTTCCAGTTCAGAGGTACTATATAGTACAGTTTCACTATAGTATGGTGTGAAGACACTATTTCAAAGTTCAAACAAAAGATATAAGGGAAAATGTTAATATGGTGGAATACTAGAAATGGGGGGCAAAACACTCTGCTTTAAACATCGGGCTTATTATACCTGAATGGCATCATTTCACTAACAGGCTTTGCAGGAGGCATGTCCATGAATAAGGAATTAGTAAAAAACTCTAATCTTCTTCTCGCTTCAAGATTTTTAGGAACATTAGCAGCTGAGTCCTTTACAGTAAGGAGAAGGTGCAACCGTTTCACCAGCTCTTTCTACAACAACAAACATTATTCAGCCACTCTGATATCTAAACAGAAAAACAAGGAATAACGAGAGGAAAATAAAGGAGGAGGCATCATATCCAAAGCTCTTACAATTTCTGGATCACTAGGCCACTGTATTCTAGCAAAAAGGCGCCCCTCATTCCTCGCTCTGGCCAAAATGTTCCATGTATCAAGTTGTTCCCTAGGGAATCAACACGTTAGAAGATGGCAACGTAGACAATAGAGACAAGTCACAGTGCCTTGAAAATCATAAATATTCAACCAAGTACCTTAAATCAGATGAAAGCAGATCATGAGTAACAACTTCATATAGTTCAAATACAGCTTTGGCGGCACCTTTAGCAAGTGCAGGATCATTTCGAATCTAACACAGATCATTATTGTCATAAATATAAGAAAAGGTACGCTCTAAAAACAAAACCAACTGCCAAATATTTCAAGGCAAACATCAACCAAAAAAGGGCAAATATTTATAATCTTTTGACAACATAAACAGTATCAAGCAAAAGAATTGAAAGCAAGGAAATTTCCTAAGTACAAAAATAGATTTCAAATAGCCCTCTAATTAAGTCCGATCAAAATAAACACCATCAATTCATAACTGCCGCTCAATGCTACAATGCTAGCATAAAAAATAGAGGGACAACTGAATCAGCTAGGAAAATCAGAATGGCAGGAAAAAATTCTATTGAATTTTCAATCTTTGATGTTTTATTTCCATGAAGGTGCATCTGGAGATTTTTCATTCCTTCAAAGCTGCTTTTCTCACATAAAGTGCAACATTTCACCTCCTAAAAACAAAAGACATCATCATATTTGAAAAAAGAATTTACTTATGACGGGAGAGAAGAGTATAGCATATCACCTCCAAGTCATTAAATGGTTCAAAACAAGCAGCGCAGTGAGTAAAATACCACATATCTCTGTAGTAACTTTGATAAGGTACAAAGAAAGTGTTATAAACGTACAATGCTTTTTTCCCCTCCATTTTAAAGTATTAACAGAGAAATTTCAATAATGATAGACAATCAGCCGCAGGCTAAACAAGCTTTCATAATAATACAAAGTATATCATCCACATGGTCCACAGAATAGTACCAGGAGTCCAGTTAATGCTGTAAATCTTGATAAAACCAGTGGAAGCTTCTTAAGTGATAAAGTGATAACAAGAGATTCCTCCGATATGCTGTTATGGATTTCACGAAAAATCCTTTCTACCCTGTGAAAGAAATTATGTGGAGAAAACGCAAATAGCAAAAGATGTTTATAACCTTCAAAGAAATGGTTCAAACTCTTGTGTTTGGTGTGGGGGGGGGGGGGGTTACAATAAGACGCAGGCAGAAGATTGCTTTGAAATGGATGTTCCAAAATTTTCTCGAAACAGAAAATCTTGATGATCGTCTGAAATCCACATGCAATTGCTATCTCAGAAGGCAAACATAAAAGTTTTACGAGGCAAAACTATGGAATAATATAACCAAGGCTGTTCTCAGAATTGAATCTGGCTTATCAGATGGACACTATAGGCAACATCTGTTCTCAGAAATGAACATTAATAAAAAAAAAAAAATTTTAAAATACCAAAGGAAAAATTACTTTCGCAACAAATTCAAAACTTGCAAGACTATGACTTGGCAGATTCATAGCTATCTTTCCCTAAGTTCACTTAGTAATCGTTATCTACTAAAAAAGTTCCACATTCCGTATTGCTCTCTTCCTCGTTATTTTTTTATATGAAACTGGCACTTCTCTTCCTCACACTTCTCCCCTCATATTCTTTATCTATTAACCCATAAATGAAATATAAAATATCAGATAATAAATAGTAGTTAAAATCATCTTGGAACTCTTTCTCTGTTATCAACTACTGAATTCAAAATTTGTTGATAATTGATCCATATCTCCTTGCACTAAATTTATATATATATATATATATATATATAAATCAGAAAACATGATAGAGCAGTGAAAACCATACCAAAGCCTTCCTTCGCCATCAACTAATGAATACAAAATTTTCTCAATACTGTAATAGCACTCCTGAACTGCATATCCCATATATTCATCCCTGCATATTCTGTTCCAAAGATCTGCCTGGGTATCTTTGCAGTCTATAGCCAAATCAATTGCCAAAAGGATCTGGAAAAACAGTATCACCAAAAAATTTCACAGCAGCCCAGAATATTACAGAAGTCAGTTCAAAATTTTGTCCCAAGTAAGGCATATTGCACAATTGGCTATACCTTACTACTTAGAAGAAACAAAGGCCATTGAACTAATCTTAGACTCCCCGTGTTGCTAGGGATAGAAAGCAGGTCCAATTCCCTGGGACAAATTAAAGAAACTAAATTAAAATGATGCCTGCTCAGCAAGACTCACTGAGTTGAGTCAGCCAACTTAAGTAAAGGCAAAGAAGCAAATTTAATACTCGTTATCATGAAGAAAACTCTATGATATACCGGTTGCTAATAAAATCTTCTTCTCGTAGACTTTTAATTATCTCATTCCAAAATGGAGCGAACATGGCTGCATATTCTTTGTTATTATCCTGAGATTCCTACACAAAAATGACCACATGTACTAAAACTGCATACCAGACAATACCCAAACAAAAGGAAAGTAATGCTGCAACAGAATCATCATGAACTTTAAGCCAAGATGTAATACCCAAAGAGTTCCAGTTTCCTCAATTCAAACAACAGATATCAGTGTAGTGATTAAAGGTTAATAATTCTCTAACATGAGAAGGAATAATAAAACATAACATTGACTATAACAGCTACAATAGGTAACAAACAAACAGAAATAAAAGTGATAAAACATGCGTTTTCTTTCATCATCAAAAAGCAACGTGTCTATTGTCCATGCCACACGCAAAATTTTTCTTTCATCCATACTGCCCACAAGAGCTCTCCAAGATGGTGACCGAGCATGGACTGGAGTGGATGGTATTTTCATATTAAGCTAAGGCAAGTAAATGAAGATCATATCACAACCAAGGTATTAAAAATCAAACCAGTCACTGAGCCAATGGAGACAATGGGTCAAAGTTCAATGGTTTAACCAAGGCCAAATTGGTTTTAATTAACATATTTTTAATTATATTAATTATCTAAAATAAAAATAATAATACCAAAATGAATAAACACCAAATTAACAAGTGAGAATTCATTGAAGCAGTCAAAAGAGAAAAGATACTTCTAAAATACAGGCAATGGGCATTTAAAAAACAAAAACTATCATAAAAAAGCTATAGTAAAATGATAATATTTTTTATCTAATAATGTAGTCTACTCATTGAAAATTGTAACCTATTGGACTTTTCAAAAGACAATCGGGGAACGTGAATGGCTTCTTCACTTAGTAAGATGAAAACTTCTCCGTTACATTGAAAAATGTGTAGATACACCGTGCTTCTCATGCCTTTCCAGATATTTCTACCATTCACATCCTACCCTCTCCTCTCTCTCTCTCTCTCTCTCTCTCAGATCAGGTCTTCTTTTTCCTCGTTCCCTCTCTCCTGACATCTTTATCTACACCCTAATCTCTTCTCTCTCTCATAGCTTTTCTTTTTCTCAAATGCTTCTACGCAAGACGCTCTGTTTTCTCATGAGCCTCCCTCATTAGATGGTACTGGTACAACGCCTTCTTAAGTCACCTGCTTCTCCGTAACTCATCAGTATTCAAAGTAGCTGAAGCAAATAGTGGTTAACAACTTCATATGCTTCTCGTTGCTCTGTTCTTGCAATTTTTTGTGGATTTTGGTGTTGTCGAAGGGGAAACAGATTCTCACCCAAAAAAAGGGGGAAACAGATGAAGGGTGCTAAATTTCTTCTTATTCATCTTTCTTTCTTCATCAATGAGGGCTGAGCTTTCTTTTTCCTGTGTCTTTTCCCTCAAATCATTATGACCCATCAAGCCAACAGGTTTCCTCATTTAAGCCAAGTCAACATAGGTGATGTAAGACACACACGCGCGTGTTCTCACTGAAACAGGGGAGTTTCAGAGAAGAAAGACAGAAACAGAGAAAGGGAGAGGAAGAAACAGAACAGAATTTAAGGGGGAGAGAGAGGGTTGAGGGGGAAACGAGAGGGAGACAGACTTAGGATGGAGAGAGATCACATATTTTACAAAATATCATTCATCAAAATCTATCTTTTACATATGCTGCCTAACATCTATTAATAGACGAAGGTTTCTTTCTCGTGAAGGAAACATAGTCAGCGAACTTGTAAGATCTCCTTCTCATGAAGGAATCAAAAAGCAAAGTAAAGATATTAAAACAATAAAATTATCCTATCCAGAGTCTGCCAACAAAGGCTGTGACAAGCATGAAGCAAGCTTGAAGAGCTAAGCTGCCAACTGTATATAAAATATTTACTTCCTAACTTGAAAGGAAAGTTATAATTAGGCATAAGCAATTTTATCTTTCAAAAGCCAAGAAAAAAGAAGTAATCAATCGATTCACTGTTAAGTGCCTCGACCTAATAAAATCATGAGCAAGTGGTAATAGATGCAGCCATATGGAAACTGACATGGAAGGTTCTCCTGAAAGCAATTAACTAAATATCGTCCTCCTCGGCAACAAATATTAGCAAAATGCCCCATGAATTTGAATTTCAAATAACCTCATTTTACAATAAACAATAATCCAAAATCAAACAGGGAAGAAACACCAAAGAAAAACATTCAAAACTTAAAACTGCATTGATCAATTGAAATTTAATTGACACATAGAACAAGTGAAAACATAAAAATTTGAGATAGCATCTGAAACACCCTTAAAAAAAAAAAAAAAAAAAAAAGGCATATTTGACCTCACCTGAGATGATTGCCGGTTGAAAGGCACCCTGAAAGGCCACATTCAAAGCAACTTCCATTAGCGAAAATAATGGAGGGGGGAATATATACTTACATTAAAACAAAGTTCAGTCAAGCATCAAGTCTTATAAAACGTCAAATATATAGTGACGTAGGCACATGGCATACGTGACCATGCTTTCATAGGTAAAATGTTATTTAATGTTCTCATTTAAAAAGAAAAAAGAAAAAGGAAAAAAAAAAGCAGTTTAAGGTTACCCTAAACAAAATCAAACATCACATACATTCCCCACCAATAAATGTGTTACTCCATCATAAATTAAAAAGATATATGACAAAGGTGTGAAGAAGTGATTCAGACAAACAATACCTCAATGCATCAGTTAAAACACTTAGCAAACCATATTGCAAAAGGAAAATCTGCATATTAGAAAACTCACCTTTTCATTTGTGGAGAGATCATACGATTGACAAAGGCTTCAGGGAAACTCTCAAAACGTTTATGCACCATTTCAGGTGTGCGTATCTATGCATCAAAATTTGAAAGGGCAGTAAAACAAACCATGAAGACAACAAAATCACATATTCCAAATAAAAATGTATCCATTTTCCCTTAGGAGGTAGTCTGACATACAAGGCTACTTCAAGGGTTTTTCAAGAAAAGGAGTGCTCTGGTAGGACGACCCCTAATTAAGGTGAAAATTTTACGCTGACCTCCTTACTATTATTTTGTAGTTTTGTTACCAATATCAGGGTTTTACAACTACTGCAAACAGCAGTCATCAATAACTTGAGCAATTGTTTGCACATCCAAGCACCAATAATTGTAACAATAAAAAAAGTCAGTTTTTCTCCTCTATACCTCACCCAACCGTGCTCGTGCACCTGTTACGCCACCAACAATTGCTGACAAGACCGTGTACCAAATGTGAATATCCATGAGATAAATCTGTAAAGCAATCAAGCATTAGTAATGCATGATACTGCCAATTACCAGAGTAAATGGCAAATACAGCTATTAGCACCTAAAATAAAACTTGGACATGTGTTTTTTACAAAAGAACCTTCACTACATAGACCAAAAGACTAACAGAAATGCATGAAATTATGATCCAGAAACAATATCCAAAAGAAGTAATTATGCAATCCCATAGACAATCAGCATGATAATGAAGCTGAATAAATGAACAATACTCACAGCCACAACAGGAGCCCATAGGCTAACTACAGTCAAAAAATTGTTATTCTCTGCAAAAATAAAAACAAAAACAAAAGCTTAGATCAATACAAATACAACAACAACAAGAAGAAGCTTAGATCAATAAAAAAGCATTTTAACATATTGATGCTCAGGCTACAATAAAACATCAGCGTAAGAATTGCATATTTGATGAAGCAAAGCAAAATTTTAGGTACTGCACACTTTTTTCCAAATGCAATGCGTGGTAGCTTTCCTAAGCATAGATAAAGCTCTTATCCCTCCCATAATTCAAACCATCTTGACAATTTTCTATCATGCATTGTTACATTGAGCCATTTAGAAAACAACTAGGATCCAGACCACAATTGATGATCGTTGGCTCTTGCCATTGATAGTTGAAGCCAATCTTATTGGAGCATTCCTTTTAAAGGATAAACCTAAATCACCGCACTAAAAAAAATCTATCCAATGATTCAGAACCAGTTCCGAGCTTGAATCAGATTATTAAAACATGTTTGTGATTTGGAGAATTTAAGGGAAATCCCAACCCCATTGATTAGTCTCATTATAGGAATCATTAGCTAACAATTAAAAATTGACTTGCCAAGTAGAAGAATCAGTCATTAAATATCATATGGAATTATGGACTATGCATGTGAAGAGCCAACGTCCTTTAAACACTTACACTCACTCAGGAAGTTGCACCTTATATAAATAGCACCTTTTCAAAGAGGCTTGTCCCACGTCTAAACTAATTGATGAAAACCAAAACCAACAAGGGGAACCTTCCATTAAAATCAACTTCCAAGGGGAAAGAATCGTGCCCCTAAAAGCTCACATGGATTATCCTTCACTCCCAGAAGTGAGACTCGATCAAATATTTGTACAACACTAATCGCCCAATACACTGACTAGCCCCTTCATTTATAGAGCAAAGGACTCACCAATGACTCATTAATCAACTCCCAAACCATCCCTCTTCTTTTACAAGAAATACATAACATTGTATGAAACTAGAAGGACAGCATCACTCTGATTCAAACCAGGGGCCAAACTTGCTTTAGACAGCAAACTAAAATATTAAAGTGCAACTAAACAATAACATAAACAATATATACTTACTCTTTGAGATCAGATCATGCCATGAGTAATTCAAAAAAGAGAGATCCACAATGATATTGGTAGGACTAACGAGAGGTTTGATCTGCAATATGAGGAACGGATTAGAAATACCAAATTGTGCAAGTAAAACCACTCCAAATACTCTTTTATGCACTGAAGTTTAAGGATAAATAAAACAAAATCCCTAGATCATCATAACCTTATTATTACTGTGATATTATAATCAAAACACAATCACTTGCCTGGAGAAAGTATGCAAAAGTGAATTTACAAGCAAAGATCACCAACCAGAAGGCCACATACCTGCAGAAGTGAAACAACAGAATAGAAAAGTAACCAGCAAAAACAAAAACAAAAAAATATTATCACTAGACGCCACTCATAACACGGGAAATGAATATAAGATACAAGTGACCTTCAAAAGTTCAAACATGTAGTTCCAGTAATCAAACAGAAGCACCACCGTTAGTTCACAAGCATATAAAACCATTTTGATTAAATCAACCAAGCGTCAACAATGAAGTCATTAACCATCGTGCCCTATTAGGGTACTTTTATTCAGACCAGATTTCCAACTGACCTACAATAATCACCCATCTTCTCATAAAGGCCACGTCCAACATAGTACCGTTCCTGATGTCATCGCAAAAGCAAAAACAACATATCATGACATATAAAAATATCTTGAAAATTACCCCCAGTCATTAATTAAAAATACCTTACCTGATAAATCCACTTAAAAAATTGAAAGAATGATTGATCAGACATTTCAGAAATTGCATGACATCCTGGTATTTTGAGCATGAGCGCAAGCAATAGGCGTAGAGCTGCATATACACCAAGGACAAGGATGTATATCCGAAAATAGAATGAATTATCTGAACTATGATCATTCCTCTCCTGCAAAACCTTCCTGCAATTGTTGTATTAAAATATACGGTAAGGTATCATAAACAAATGAGATGTGGGGTAAGCTAATGGCAAGATATATATAAGATATCATGCAAAATTGAAAGAGAATCCTACTTGCACAAGAGCATCTTAAAGGTAAGAACTTACAGGTAAAGATATGTCACAAACACAGAGCTCAAGCCACCCCAGAAGAACTGTATGACTAGTCTAGAAACAGCCATGCCCCTTGCAGTAGTGTATGCTCCAAAAGTAAGCAAAACATCTAGACAAACTATTTCAAAAATATAGAAGGTAACATTAAAATTACTTCCCATTTAAAAAATCAACAGCTGCCTAAAACAAAGACAGCTTACTTTTGATGAAATTCATAATTGCAAATGATGGCCCAATGCTTAGGATTGTCTTAAAAGTATCCAAGTCAATGTGTCGATGGTTGAAAGCAATTATAGTTAAAGCCTGCATCAAGCATGAGAACATTCTTCATGTTTGAAAATTCATTATCCATGTTCAGACCTAACAGTAATAATGGACGAATGAGGAAGATAACCTGGAACATTAATGCCAAGAAAATCCATAGACGATGGAAACTTCGATACAGGTGTAGAAAAGTTCTATGCTCAACAAAACTGCTTTTACCAGTCTGCCAACCACATGTAGAAGGGCAAACAGGGAAAAAGTGGTCAAATAAAGTGAATGTACAAACATATGCATGAACAAGAATATGATGATTCGCCACCACTTCCCCATTCCAGTAATTGCCATCACCCAAACTATTTAACAAGCTAGCATCATAGGTACAACTGAGATAAAACACAAATCAATTCAATCTTCAAACCATTACATCATACTTCCTTCTATTTATACCAATTCCCAGGCAGAGAGTCCCTTAACTAAATAAATGATCCCTAGCTTCCCATGGAACAACAATTCTCACACCTAGGCCCAAAAGGCTCTTGGGAACCCGTATAATGCTAGTATATCCTCCATAAACTTCATTGGGAACTCAAGTATAGTGCTAGAAGCCTAGAATAGCCTCCATAAACTTTATCTGGATTACAAGAATGGAGAATGATTTTAATTATTTCAGTTACAAGCATAGAAGGTCAATTACACGTTTTTTGCTATTTTTCTCTGACGTGGAAAGTTTAATAGAAGAGAACCAAACAAAACCTTTTAAAAGCAAGGAAAAAGAACATTTCAGTGCTTCTTAGGAGTACGATTAAATAAAAAGAAATTAATAGAGGGAAAAAAAACTAGTATAGATGGCAAAAGAAATAAGGATAAACAATACCCAACATCAGCAAAATGGCTTCAGAAACATTTCACATATTAAAGAAGAAAACATGAACAATTAGGACCCCAGAAAAGTATTATCCATAGAGAGTAAAGGATGAACAAATAAAGAACCAAAACAAACCCGTTTTGACTTCTTTGGCTTTAACAAGAATGACGAATCTCTCTTTATTGGCCATCCTAAATCAAAACAAGTAGGCGACCTGCAAAGAAGTCCGTGTTAGAATTGAGCAAGAAAACACTAGCCAAATTGTCATCTATGCCACTAACCAAAAGTATTCATTGAAGTCATCATAATTCCTCCATGCTGAATGCGCGGCTTTCCCGTTATTATTTTTAGAAGCTTCCTGCATTGTATTAATGATTATGGGTTTGTAGGATAAAGAATTAAGGTACATAAGAACAAACGAATACATATCTCCTGCTCAACAATGCAATTATACAACATTATTAAAGCTTCTCTAAAGTGAACTAAACGAGCAAGAACACCAAATGCATTATAATAAAATTTCATGATTACAGTTTCAAGAACAAGTCATAGGCAATTATTTCTTTCGTACAATGGCTGGCTCCAAGTAATTCAACTAGATGGTACTCTTACAAATTTTTTGATGCAATAGCTGTAGCAATGTCCGAGGTCCAAATTTTCTTTATATTTTCAACTTCTATTTCCAAGGAGGGAAGCTTCAAAATTAGCCTAGATGTTTCTTTCTAGAATGAGTCATGGAATCCATTCCATCTACAGTGAAATCTAGATCCACTGGATAATGCTTCAGCCATCAAATTTAAATGCTATCCCATTCTTCAAAACCAAGCTTGCTCTTAAGCCAAGCCTACCTTCACATATCCCTAATGAGCTTCAACAATTAAAATACAAAACATAATTTATATATATCCTTCAACAATTAACTTTTCAATGTCTATCACCAGGGGAAAAAAAAACGGAGAAAGAAACTAATGAAAATGTTCAAATATCTCAAGTTATTATGAAGCCCTCAGCCTCAACAACATATAAATTTTGTCTTATGGATGTAGTGTCACTATTAATGCCAATGTCATTTGAAATATCTTTTTCAAAAATGCAGGGGCCTTAAGAAAAATATATTTCATAAGGTCAAGACATACGGAGAGGGTAAAATTACTTACAAAAAGCAAATGAAGAACGTAGACCATAGAACACAAAACCAATGAACCATGTAGAAGACAAGGCATGCTGCACACAAAATGTTGATCAAGAGAAGGATGAAGAATGGGCAAATATTAGGGTTTTTTAAGATTTTAATTACAACTAATAATTTAATATTATGATATATTAATTAGGATTTTTACAAAGTTTTGATTCTTTCTGTTCTAAGATTATAAGTTAAATGGATGTAGCCACCAAACTTGTGGGTTAGCTCATTTAACTCACAAGTTAAACGAGCCAAGTGTATTTCATCATACAAAATATTTTCCAAGCAAGCCTCAACTCAATTCACCAAATTAGTGGGTTAAACGGGACAGCTCATCAAACTCAATTCATTTTGACGGCTTTGGAGAAGATCCAATAACTAAAGCATAAGTTGTGGTTATCACAAGAAAGGGCCAACAAATAAAATGCAACATTTATATGAGATATCGGAATATCTGACTTTCAACGAAAATATTTGTACAAGTTTATTAGCGTTTATTAGCTTTCATTAACATTTTATTTCTACCTTTTCCCTTCATGTACATATTAGAACCATGGTATGAAAACCGGCAACCCGGGGTCTTTTCTGGTACCGTTGATGGCAAGAACCAGAGGGAGGATGGCCCGGTGTGACTTAGTATGGACCAGAGTAACCCAATCATAACCCAAGTAAACCGCTGGGTTGAGTAGGGTACTAGATCACTCATTTTATCCAAGAAACCAAGAAGGAAAAAGAAAGATTACTGGGGAAGAAGAAGAAGAAATGAGAGAGGAGGAAAATAACAGGGAAAGTGAAAAAAACTCACCATGGAAGAGACCCTTTGAGAAATCTCAATAAAGGAGAGTGAATGTGATACGTGGGAATTAGGGATAAGGTCAGGGGTAGTTTGGGAATCTAGTTATTAAGGCTATAAATAGGGGCTTTGATTGGTGTGATTGTTGTTGAGTGAATTAGTATTTTCTTGTTTTAGTCTCTTCGCCCTTTTCAATGATAACAAAGGTATCAGAGCCTAGCCTCTGGCCACCGTCACCATTGCCGGAGGTCCCCTCAATGATTTCCACCACCACTATGGTGCTGCCGGACTTAGTCAATAAAGGCCTCGACGACTTGGAGCATCGCCTTGAGCTTCACCAATCCACCTTCGCTTCTATCAACAGCCGGTTGGATCAAAATACTCTCGCCATCACTGACCTCACGCACACTTTCGCTCGTTTGACTGATATGGCAAAGGAGTTATCTGCTCAGATTTCTTCTCTGTGGCCTGCTGTTGACCAAGGAACTAATTCCTTAACTGACGATGATTATGGAATCATCGAGCCAGTGGAGCTCAAGACTCTGAATCATGCTGAACCTGAACAAATTGAGGAAGAATCTGGTGAGGTTTCCGATCTCACCATTGCTGTTGCTGAAGCTAAAGTGACGAAGAACGCACTAGTAGAAACAGAGGATGTCGACGACCAGAACGAAGCACTTGAAAATGGAGGACTCAAACTCAAGACTCAGATGCAAGAGGAATACGGAAGTGTCGAAAAAGAATTTGGTGCGATTTCAGAACTCAACCTTGCTATTACCAAAGAGCGGGAGGATGAACTTATGGAATCAAAGGCCGATGCTACTGACCTGAACATGGACGATGCTGAATCAAACAGGAACAAGAATGAGTCCTCTGCACGTGATGATTTCGCTGCACATGCGATTGGCAAGATTAAGACGGCTCAAAAATTGAAAGAATCAACACCTCTGCTAAGTCTCGAGAATGACAATGGATGTTGTATCCTCCGTTTTCATGGTAAACGTTTATTCATGGCGAAACCGTTGCAACTTCGACCCGCCCAAGCTTCGCACCAGAATGCACGACCATCCCTCTCTGCTCGCAAGACGTCGTCGCAAACGTCTTTTCCGTTCACTGCTCGGGCTGCCAAGTTTGGGGCATCCAGATTCTATTCCATTTTGAGCACTAAGTCCGACATACTTCTACAATCACTGGGACACAAATTCAACTTGCAAGCCCACATTGGTGCTCCTCCTTCTGCTCCTTCCTCTGCGTTTGATGCATTTTCTCCATCTACTGTGATCCTTACTTTGTCTGGCCGCTGCGTCACTATGGCGTCTGATTCGAACAACACCAAACCCACTGTCACCCCACTATTGGCACCCAACAATATTACTGACATGAAATTTTGGATCGGAGGAATAGAGAACACACCGGCCAAACTATTCATCAACGAGCTCAAGCTAACTCCAATGCATTCACCGGAGCTATTCGCATTATTCATCAAGGGGAGGGGTTTCGATCACAAGGCCGCAAGCAGAACGATGATCGACGAAGGCAGCGAACAGATCATCAAGGATGGAGATGGTTTTGCATTTGGGTCGGGCAAAGTTGTTGAAGCAAACGGGTCGGGTGGAGCTTTGCAAGTTTCCATGGGTTTCAAATTCGCAGAGAAGGTTCCAGAGGCACCGGAGAGTGCGGTGCCAATTCCCTGCTATACGAACCTTGATGCTAGCGCTTTTGTCTTGTGCGTTCACGAAGAAGTGTTCCATGTGTGGCTAACGTATGTTTCACGTGGTAGCAAGCAAGATCCCATCAAAATTGGGCTTGACATTAATGGACGTAAGGTTTTTTATCTGAATGGGATTTGGGCTCTTCAAGCATATGTGGGTCCAAAAGCTTTTGATGGGATGAGGGGTATGCAGTCCTTGAAGTTTCAGCAGCGGATGTCACTTGGGCTTGCATGTAACGTCACAATGGGTTTTTGGATTAAGGGCATACTGCAACAGGCTTGGGTTTTGATGCTCATTTTACTTCCAAGTTCTTTTTCTTTTTTGCGCCTGCAACAATGATGCAACCCAAAAAAAAAAAAAAAAATTCAAAGAGAAAGAGCTAGGGAAAGAGTTTAAAGTCCCCCCTACTTTTGTACTGATCCTTGAGGGCAAGGATCTTTTTCTTGGGGGGAGTATTGATACGTGGGAATTAGGGATAAGGTCAGGGGTAGTTTGGGAATCTAGTTATTAAGGCTATAAATAGGGGCTTTGATTGGTGTGATTGTTGTTGAGTGAATTAGTATTTTCTTGTTTTAGTCTCTTCGCCCTTTTCAATGATAACAGAATGTGTTAGATCTTGAGAGTTAGGACAGAAAGAAAGGGGAAGAGAAGAGAACAGAAAGAGAAAGATAAGGGAGGAAAGAGAGAGAGCCTGGAACAGGAATCTGAAATTCTAGGAGAAGGGGAAGTTTAAGGCAAACTGAATAATGTTTTTCATTCATCTCCCCTTTGGGCAGAATACATGTATGATATTTATAGTATGGTACATAAAGTGAAAATAACTACCTTATCCTATCCATATAAGACTAATAATGATGTGACCAACGCTAATTGTAACAGTTAATACAAAACACATAATAAAACATAATAATTCACTGAACAATAAACTAGTAAAGGCCCCTGGTTCCTATCAGAATGAGCTTTTCAAATAGAAAATATGGAAGAAAGAAGATCATAATGATTTTAGAAGAGTGAGACTGTGAGAACAGGAGATTTGTTTTTCAAGTTGTATTGAGAGAGGGAGAGAGACTGCAAATAGAGCAACGTCATGAGAAGTTCAAACTGGAAGGAAGGAAAGCGAAGAAGAAAAGGCTGGCTTATACTAGAGAGATGACTAATGAGCAGTAATGCGTGTTAAACAGTCAAGAAAGGAGAGAGAATAAGGAACAAAGGAAAATACAGAAGTATAAAATAAAGGAAAAGGAAAAATTGCGTCCCATCACACCTCATCACACAACAAACACAAACCGACACGTTAAAATGAAACCAAAAACATGAGCATAGTTATTGATTTAAGACATTTCTTGGATTAAATATTATTTTTAATTATCAAAAATAAAATATTTTTATATAACTACATTAAATTAATTATCACCAATCTCACCCTAAGTTGACTCCAATCTGACTCACTGACCCTTGACCCACTATCTCGACCGATTTATAGGCTGGTCCAGTTTTTAGTACCTTAATTAGAACACATCATTCTCTAAAGATCAATGAGAAAAAGCATTTTTCTCACAAAATTCTACATGGCATAGCATCAAAGCTAGGTTCCTTCCACTAGGGTTTATTATCTCTTTCATTGCTTAAAAAAAACAACAAAAAATTTGAATGTTCTATGTGTGATGTTTTAGGCATCACAACCAAGCTTTAAAGTTTTGGGTTAAGATGTATTGTTGTGCCACTTATATGACTTCTTGTTGCAACAACAAATTGGACTTTCCCTCCTTCCAAAATGTTCCCTAGTCCCAACAAGTGGTATCAAAGCCTAATTCCAACAAGTGGTATCATCCACAATGACCTATGGGACCATCCTGTGTTCCAGACCGCACCAAAACAAGATGGTCCATTATACTCATAGATGATCAACCATCTCTATTGGGTTTATCATTTTTTTTCCGTGTATATAAGAATGCATCATTCTCTTCAAACTAATGAGAAATACATTTTTTCCTCATAAAATTTTACAAAAGATGCGCATAAAAATAAAAAATAAAAAAAAAGAAATCATCTTAACTATAGAAGGGAAGAAAACAACTAACCGCCGATATTGTCTCATATATAGGACAGATAATTTGCTCAAGAAAGGAAACAGAAACACCGCTAGTGCAGCTTAAAGCAGGACTAGCTTCTCCATGATCCAAAATAGCGTCCAACTCTTTTGCCATCTGGACAACCATTAAACCAGTTAAGAGATCTTTGAAAAAGGAGTGAAATTAAATACCTTTCAGCATATTATATTTTAGAATTTTATAAGGAAAACATTTAAAGGAAAAAAATTGATGCAGCACAATAAATAGCCCCAAACTATAAATGCAGTTCATCCAGATAGCATGCTCTGATAGCATGCTCTTAAGTCTTAACATACATTGAATCAATAACACCACTAAATGCAATCATGACCAAAAATTGAGAAAGCATAATAAGAGACTTACATTGTGGAAAATATAGCATAGGCATTCAGGAAGGAAACGGACATTTGCAGCTTCACCCCATATAAGAAAATACAGGGAAACTAAAAACAGCTTTCTGTCCCTGTTAATGGCCTCTAAACTGCAGAGAATAATTAAAATCCAGTAAAGAATAGTACAATAAGGAAAAGTTATTCACTGTATGAGATAATCCAAGTGATGACCTATTCCATGCAAGTCGGATTCGCAAATATCTGCACCATTTCATGTAGTTATCTAGCACCTTCAAGAAGACTTCATTGATTGCTTTCTCATCTATTTTCTGCACAATTCCGCCAAACAAAAGAAAAGGATAAGTGCCAAAGAAGGGTCCATCAGCTAGTCCATAAGAAATTCAAAAGAGCTATGAAGTGTGAATGTAGGTGACAATCACGCAGAAAGATTACCATTACATTTATCATATAATATGACAATTCTCCTTACTTCATACCTTATAATGCAGTCACTGGCCCTTTTACAAGAGTACGACTTCTTACAGAACATGGATCTTAAAAAGCCCAATAAAATCCAAACAGTTGTGTTACCAGTTAAAGTGGGCCTTAAAAGATGAGAGAATATCTTGTGCAGGGAAGCATTCATCTACTAAAAGAAACTAAGGTCACGTTTGGTAGCAGCGCCCTTGTTTAATGGAATGGGAAGGAGAATGAGAACGAGAACGAGAACGGAAATGGAAACTGGGCCTACCAGGGATCCAATTCATATGTTTGGTATGACTGAAGAAATAAAATGTTTGAAAATAGAAATGCAAGGCCAAAAAAATCAAACAACACATGAGCATTGTTAAAGAATTTAAACAGAAAGGAAAAAGAAAAAATGGTTCTTGGTTCATCTTCCTCACCAAGCACAAGCTAATAGCAGACTTGGAACAATAAAACTTCTGAAGATTGAAAATAAAATAAAGCTTATTCAAATGACACAAAAGCGATGGTGGTGGCAGTGAGCTAACAGTGATGGTACCAATAATCAAAGGCTTCAACAATGGAGGTAAGGAAATGACATGAGCATAAGCGAATAGTGATGGTCCAAGGCTTCAACTATAGGGATGTGACAACCACGAGCACGTGACAACGATGACCACGGCAGCAATTTGAGAACAAAAGGCAAGTGGCGATGGTGGCAAAAAAAATGTGAAGATGGCTAAGAAGAAGAGGATTCACAAAGAAGATGGAAAAAGTGGTGACAATAGCAGTGGTGGGGGATGAGATGGTGACAGCAGAGAAGAGAAGGATATACAAAGAACATGATCTGATGGAAAAGTGGTGCTCTGCTCAAGGGTTCCAATAGGGCAAACTTGTCAATAACTTTTTCCACCAAGGATAAAACCATCATAAATTTTGGCTTCTTAGGAAGCAGGGGATTTTCCATCAGGTTATTGATAGAATCCTAGTTCCATCATTTGAAGCAACCAAAAGTTGACAAGAAGACTCATCCATGAATACCAAACATGACACTTATGAAAGTAAGTCTTCATATCCCTTTCCAAAGTCGCCTTCCCACATACCATACATGACAACCAAAATCTGAACAATTGAGTAACCAATAAAAGTGGCCCTTAAAGGAAGAGCTACAACATGAGTGAATATCTTGTACAAGCAATCATTGACCCAATAAAAATAAAATTAAAAACTAAGTTATGGATGAGCATCACTTTTCTGCATCTCTTACAAATTCTCCACTTCCATGAATAACGCAACCCCAAAAGCAATAAACCACTTAAACCTACAACAGCCTACACTCAACCAGAGAAATCTTTAATTTGACCTTCCCTAATGTCCACCCAATCGTATAAGCAAACATAGTAAAGTCTCAATACAAAAAGAGTTGAAATACCAACTCGAACGTAGAAAAAGGATGGTATGCTTAACAAATGATGAATGAAAAATAAATCCACTAATAACAAATGGCTTTACTGATAAATAATATTGCATATTTTAGACAAACTTCAATGAATGACCACAAATAAAACAAATACTTCTACACCTTTTTGACAATCCCTTTCCTAAAGTTATATCACAACCCACTTGCATGTCGATTAAACAATCTAACATGTTAAAGACATTTGATAATAAAGAAGCATATAACACCTAGAACCCAAAAGCTAAGTTATAGAGAGCAAAAGTACAATAACTTGCATTGACAGAAGCACTCACTGGATCAGCACCAGTAGGTATACCAAGTCGGGATTGTGCATTTGCTATCATCAAAACAACATTTTCACGCTGATTCCTTATGTTGTCTTTCTGCACAAGGAAAATTTGAGATTAATTGCCAAGAGTTTTCAACATGTGTGTTACAGAATACCCTACGTGGAAGAAAATTTCAAAAATTAGTGTTGTTCAATCATAACAGTAGAGAATTTACAACCCACTTAGTATGACGGAAATTTGCTCTAGAAAATGAATAGGAAAGGGAAGTTACACTTTGCAATGTTTAGTTTGCAAGAATTTTGATTCCTACGGAAGCAGCATTCAACCAAATTAATAGAATCTTCTTTCCTCCCTAATCCCTTGAGGAATCAAAAACCTTCCCATAAAACCTAAGTGCTCACGACCATTTTGCCCTCAGTTTCCAAATGTTGAGTACATTTTGCCTCTATCCTTAACGTACCTCTCTATCATCTATCCTCTCTCTCCTCTCTTCTCTCCCCTGTCTCTCTTAAAATTCTTGGTCATTTGATGTGAGCTTCAATTTTCAATAACTTTTACAACTGTGTTCCATTTACTTTTCTTTACATACCAAACATAGCATTAGGCCAGCATCTTTTCTCTTGTCAATTTCCATTCCTCTAAGAAAACCCTTACAGCATGAAAAACAAGCCCTAAGCATTCCCCGCATACCACCCTTGTTATTTAGTGTTTTGAGAAATAGAGCGCACTGCTAACTTATCAATGCATGTATATTTTATTAGGAGTGTCTTGTACATAAAGACATAAACACATTCATTAGTCCCTGAGTAATAATGCCTTTGCCTGGGCAAGCATGAAACCATACCTGCAAAAGACTCCTGCAACCCAGTGAATGATGATTTTTTTTTTGGGGGGGGGGGGGATGCATCAGCCCAAAAGTACAATGAAACACAATTACACCACTCAAAAACTAAACCAACAAGTGACAGTATGAACATTGCAATTACAGCAAACCTGAAAGCCAAAGACAAATTCTAAAAGGTCAAACATGTCTGCATCCCTTTGTCCAGATATGTTAAAGCCAGCAGGAAGTCTAGGGAACTGTCCATTATATCTAATTGCGGCTATTGCTCCTTTGACCTGATATTAAGAATAAGCACTCACATGTTACAATAACATTCAATCACAGTACCCATAGTGAATACCAGAATAATCTTCCAGTCATGGGGCCAACCAATGAAGCACAAACAATAAACCGTAAAGGATAGTACAAATCAAGGATGCCACAAATTTCTGAGGAATCAACTTACTTCTGGGAAAAATCTGATAGGATTGGTCAATGACGGTGCTTCCAAGGGAACTATATTGTAAGGTATCAGTTCTGCAGCTAACGTTGCACCTGACATTTTGATTTTCCTCAACTGGGTCAAAAGAGAAGAGTAAGAAGAATTAACCACCATCATTTTGATGCAAGGAATGCTTCAAAGTTTGCCAAGTTCAAACAGAATGCTCAACGATCCCAATGAAAAACTAGTAGGCAAGATTTATCAACTCTCATGACCAGCCGCCAACTATCTCAAAAAGAGTGATAGACAGGCTTAGATGTTAATAACAACATCACCAAAACAATATTTAAAACAGAAGAAAAAATAAATAGCAAACGATATGTAATAAACAAGGTACTTTTCCTCTTTCAAGTCATTATAAAAATATAGAACAAAGTACCTCCTCCATTATAAGCCCTCCAACACCAGCAGGATCAGCTTCCTTACTCAATGCCTCCATGACCTCCACCAACGCTCTCAAAGTAGCTATGACCTTTCTCATTTCAGATGATCTCAATTCCAATCTACAACAACAAAATAATTCACAATTACATTAGAATAGAGTAAAGTATGCACCTTATAATTCACAAATCCAATCTCGATTCCAAGCTACTTTTCAAAATGTGGGACCCACAACATGTGCCTGTCTTTCACGAATTGCATAAGAAATTTATAATAAAGAAACCCGAATTATCCAGGTTATACTTTATTAGCTTCTCTTCGGAGCTCCTTCTTTAAATTACCTCCACCATGCAATAACTAGTGAAACTGAGCAAACATTCTGGATAAACAGAAAGGCAAGGATATACACTTCAATCAACTTTAGCAGTCAATAAGGCATGGAATAATTTCTGTGGGTTCAAAGTCTTTCAAGGGCACCAAGATACACACTGCACAGGCTTTCTGAAATAGTGTCGGTTGGATAAAAATAAATAAATCATACAGCGAAACCAAGCCTTCAGATTTTGGTACACATGGGCAACTTCTTTTTACAAACAGTGACCTCAATTAATGTACGCAAACTAACTTCAGATCAAACTTGTAAATAAAGCAACAGGCCTTTCTATGCAGGGGAAAACAGAAAAGAAAATCCATTATTTATTTATCTTAGTGATGTAAGAACCTTTGTATTTCTACAAACAGGTAACAACTATATTGCAACTGCCAAGTTATACATACTCTCCAAGATTAGAGCTGAAAGTTCCAGATTCTTGCAGCCTCTGCTCTTCTCGTTGAATGTCATCCACCCTGTAACGTCTCTTGTAGCGTTGATAAAACTCCCACAGGTTTTCGATATCACGATTGCGATCAATGCGGCCACCATCCTTTTTAGCAAGTTTTTGCTTATAGTACAGAGAAATAAAAACCGTCAGAGGGAAATTTGTTGACCAATAAAAAGGTAATTGAAAGAGAAGTTTGAAAACCACGTCACTATAAGGCTATTCATAGCGTATCACTCAGAATTCAAAGTTGATACCTTGATTACAGACATCAAACCGGTCTTGAACTGGAGAACTCCCCTACCAGCACTGTTGGGATCAAGATTTTGAGCCATGCTATATGCTTGCTCACACACTAAAGTTAAAAGCATAAGGTCTTATTGGTATACACTAGTAAGGGGAAAAAACTAATGCATGCCAAAAGAAGTGATGTTTTGAAAATTCAATGAACAAGCACACAGATAAAAAGGTTGATCAATGCACTCATCAGAAAATACATGCAAGCAAGGTTGAAAGGATAAAAAAATGTGCGCCCAAACATAGCAACAGGAAAGATAACTCAGTAAATGGTCTATTGAATAAAGAATCTAGTTTTGTTTTCCTACCAAACATGCAAACACAGACCACATGTAAGTGACATATGCAGGACCTCCTAAAACAAATATTAAATTAGAGGGAAGAGTATCAGACTGTGCACAAGAGTTGTATAGCAATTCCGTTTCTGGGAGACAATAATCGTAATTATTTTATAGGATCTGTCTCCATAAGGTTAAACGGGAAACATTGAGCTCTTCCTTGACACAATAACGCCTCGCCTATCAATTTGATATTACATGTGAAAAGGAAAGGCACATAGCACCACAGACTGGCAGTACTTAATTAAGTTCTCTCTCTATCTGGAGTTTAAACTAGAAACATCAGCTGCACCACCAGTGAACAGCAAAAAATTCAGAAACCAAAATGGTTAGAAATTGATATCATGAAATGAATCCACTCACGAATCCGAGCGACATTCGGGTCCACTGATTGAATCTCATCTGCAGCCTGCAAGATCGCCTCTACATTCGTAGTCTGAGCGAGTGATGGTGGAACGGCGCCAGCTATCCCACTTGAGATTCTCTCATGACCTTGGCCGGCGGTTCTCAGCTGCTCCCTCCGCAACGTCGCTCGAACCAGCCTCTCCCAGTTGTCACGAACCCTAGCCATGCCTCCAACACCGATCAACGCAACCGATGGCCAAGGTGGTTTGTGCGACCCCGAACTCGATCCGGAATTGGATATCCCGATTCCCTCTTCAACGAAAAGACAGCGGAGAGCTTAGCCTAACCTCGCAAAAGCTAACGCGTATCGCCAGAAACAGAGTGACAGAAATCACCGAAGTGTGACGATTTCCCTTTTTCAGTTTCCCCGCTCCCCGAGAATGACAATAACTAGTTCGCATCCCGGTTACCGTTTTCTTACAGGGGTTTGAAAGTTGAACCATGTGAACATAACTACGATTTAGGAATATACTCTCGAACTACGTCAGAGAATGATCGCTCTGATTTCCTACAGTGATTGAACGGTATTATGTAAGATCTGAGAAATTCATGATACATATGTGATGTCGCTTTATTAATCATTGATAAATTAACAAATAATTGATTCCGTACAGGAATATACACTTTAAAGCATAAATTTCACAGTCTAATGTATATATTTGTAAGCAATGTAATTTGGTCCTTATATAAGATCCAATTATTGAGTTAGTTTTGATCCTAAATATAAGACATATTTCTTATATTTATCAATTTTCTCTAATTACTCCTATGGATACTCTCTCAACCATAATCAGATGAAAAGGGAGAGGGGATATTAAGAAGATAATTATGGTGTTTTAAGAAAATATTCACATTTATTATAATTAACTAACTTACCTAACTTTCTAATCAATTAGTTAAATGAGTCTTATTAAAGATGAGAAGAGTATAACAAAACGTGAGTTATGATCAATATTGTTACATTCAACCTGAGCCGTTTAGTTGTGAAAACAGAAAATATCATAAGTTTCTTTTTACCAGATAAAATATCATATGTTAAAGTATCAAATTATACTATAGATTAAATTTTATAATATTGAAAACTGAAAGTAGTATTTAAATGAAAAATAATACTCACATCAAATTTCTTATTTATATTGTATTAAACTCTTTAATCACATGGCACACATTATATTTTTCACATCCTATTTTTTATGTGAATTTACAGCTAAGTAACAATATTAAGCGTGAGGAGGATTGTCAAATGCATGCCATGAGTACGAAAATGGGCGCAGTCGCTTGAGAATCTGACTATTCATACGCGTATCTTTTTGTGTATGCTCCAGGTGGCAGGTCCGTTCAGGCCGAAGGAAAAAGGTGGGAAGTCAGCTAGCTTGTTTAAAATAGGTCCGTTATTACTTAAGCTATAAGCGTTATGACATCCCCCTTATATCTATTTTACTAATTTGATCATATACTGTCTCTGATCCTAGTTATAAAATTTTATTTATATCTACAAATGAGATTTATAATTAGAACTGGAGGTAGTAATAAAGTTAGATAAGTTAATTAAAAAAAATATAATGTATTTTTTCTAAAACACCATTTATTTTCTAAATATCTTCTCTTTATCTCTTACTTGATTATGGTTAAGGGAGTATCAATAGGAATAATTTAAAAAATTGATGAATATGATAAACCATAATTAGGTTCTATTATGGTTAAGGGAGTATCAATAGGAATAATTTAAAAAAATTGATGAATATGATAAACCAATAATTAGGTTCTACGTCAAAGAACGGAAGATTACCAAATATTGTCTTGTTTGCAAATTTGTCCTTGTGACTAAGGGTGTGTTTGGATGAAATCAAACCGTGGTTTGGAAAAGTGATTCTGGAGAATAAATTTTGGGAAGAATAGATTCTGAAAAAAATAAATGTTATGAAAAAGTGATTTTGAGAAATAAAAGTGTTTGGATAGTTGTTATCAGAAGCACTTTTTATATATACAAATTACTAAAAAAAGACATAAATAATATGATAATTACAAAAAAATAGATTTTATGATGATATTTTAATTTGAAGGAATAAAATTGTTAATAATATATTTTTTATTAACATAATTAATAATACATAAGATAATATAATTAATAAATAATTAATATGTATATATATTTATAAAATATAAGATTAAATATGTTTATAAAAAAATATATTTATAAAAAAAATAACAAGATGCATATCCTATAGGCTCTCACACTCTCCCTTTTTTCTTCAAAAGCAAAAAAATTTTGCTTTTTACAAAACCATGGTTTTGGCCCTAAACTACGGTTTGTGCAAATGGGTGGGTATTTGGGTGACTTATCACCCAAACCATGGTTTGGGGTATCACCCAAACGGTACCTAAGATTCTAATCAAAGACATACGCATTTCTCAATATATATCTCCTTGGGTCCTTAATGTATGATCTAATAGAGATATTAGCATTGGTCATAAATGTAAAAATTATTTTGGGTACTGATCAATTTTTTTTCAAATAACCCTATCAATATTCCTCCAACAATAATCAATTAGTTTAGAGAGGAAGGAATTAAAGAAGATGTTTAAGCAAAATACTATATTGACTAATTTAATTAATATCCTTAATCTACTCAAATTAATTAATTAGATCCTATTGTGTGTATGTATGTGCGCAGAATTTGGCCTAAAACAGTTGAAGTGTTTTTATGGGCAAGCACTCATCCTAAAAAGGTTTTTAACAAACGTATGAATTACAAGGTTCCTTCTGTTTAAAAATGCATCACACTGATTTTTCTGCATTAATAAAAAATCATCATAATTATATACGATCTCTATATTAGTATATTTATTACTTTTTTTTTGCCAACCTATTAATTACATACGTAACCAAAAATGTATTTTAGATGTGAGCTAGCTGACCTATATACTCTCTCTGGTCACTAATATAAGAGGCTGGTTGAAAGAAAATTTTAATCCAAAATGTAAAAGGTTAACAGGATAATTAGCATCACTTTTAACTATTGTTATAACGAATAGAAAGAGTTTTAAATATAGGAGAGATTTGAGAGAGAATTTTCCAATCACATTCGCTAATAAAAATAAAATAGGCAACTTCTATCTATTTGAAACAAAATCAATGATTTAACTACTATTCATTAGTTTGTGAGAAAAGTTAAATATCTCCTTGTGCTGTTATAGCGTTTTATTGAACTACTCCTCCGGTCCTAATTATAAGACCCAATTGACTTATTTGAGGAGATTAAGGAAGTAAGTAAGTTGGTTATTTATAATAAATAAGTGTTGTCATTCTTAAAATATCCTTACTAATTAAGTATATTGACTTAAACTATCATTATTAGAAGGATTATCTTGGAAAAAAATGCAAATATAATAAACAAAATGGATTGAGTCTTATAATTAGGACCAAATAAAAGTCAAATGGGTCTATAATAAGGACCGGAGGAGTATTACAAGTATTGTATGAAAAATGTATTCTCTACTCCTGAAACGTGAGCTATTCTTTTTCTTAGAAAGAAAGAAAAATTACAATCAAACACACAAAAAAAATAATTATTAAAAAGTCTCAACTAAGTAGCCTATAGTGGAAAATAATTTTTTGAGACTTGTTTGTATTTTTTTCTTTTTATGTGAACTGACTGTAATTCTTTCTAAAAGAAAATGATGAGGACGCATCCAGTACTGTATCTTATAGAAAGCGCAAGCCACAAATATAATCTAGTATTAGTATCTTATTGATCCCTTGGCTGAAGAGATACACTCACGCTAGTTTCCAAGGCCAATGAAGATCAAGGACAGTACCAACGTCTCGCAAGGCGCTTTAAATCCCGGCGCGTGGTCTCTGTCAAATGCTGGTGTTATCAATGTGACAATGACGAAGGAAGTATATACTGTTTGCCGGCGTGGTGAATCGCCGTTTAACTTCAAGGTTCTTTTGTCTTTTGGTTTCCGTCTTCGGGTCATCGGCCGGAGACTAGATGCAAAATATTTTGCTTATGTCCTCGCTCTCCAGCCAGAACTTGCTTATTATAAAACTCATAACTATGCTTCTCAGCTTTGGCTTTTTCCCCTCATTTCTTTGTTGTTTTTTGCTTTCTTTATGTCACAGAAGTGATTTGAGATATTTGCTAGGAGCATAAACAGAGACGAGAAAAGTTTGCGTGGTCTGTGCCCATAAGTGTCTTTCGATTCATGGAAAGAAGAAAACATCGTCAAATGGCCCTTCTCCCTTCTTCAAGGTCATGATTGGCAGCGAGTTTTCTAGAGTTCTGGTACGACAACATCTTAAATGGACAAGGTTTCTTGTCCTCGGAGTCAGATACGGAAAAAATGCAAACCCGGGAGGAGGTCGTTGGACTTGAAAAAAACAGCGCAGAAAGTAACGAAGGGCAGACCTCAGAGAATAGTAATAGTAACGGAAGGATCCAATCTTTGTACGAAGACGAAAATTATATGAAGATCCTTGTTACTTGAAATTAGGCCGAGACTTTGGAGACAAAGAAAGAGCGGGCAGGAGTCTTATGTTTGATGTGTCTGGGATGAAATATTGAACAATTCAGGTGTTCACAGGACTGGCAAATTTACAAGCAGCAATGAAATAGTTGTTACAAGCATCTGCACCAAAGATCCTTTGCTCGAAGAGATATTGGAAATGGGTCTTATATTTATGACTAAACCAACTCAAATTGAATCCTATATTAAGGATCAGAGGAGTAAGTCATTTTCTTAAAGAGTTAAGCCGAGTATATTCTCCTCTGATGGACACACTTGTAGAACCAAGATTCCTGAGCATCTTTTGATCCTGTACCATGCAACATGAAGAAATCAAAGAGAACAAGTTCATTATACCCAACTGGGAAGACCAAAAGTGCCAATTTGCTGAGAACTCAAGTAACACAGGCATTGGAGTAGCTTCATTCTGTCCCCCTCAAACTTTCTGTTATTGAGTTATCAAATAATGTACGGCTAAGTTTGCTTTATGCAAATTGTGGGTTTTTAAGTTTTCCCCTTTTCCTTGAAATATGTTCTGCTGGCGGGAATGATTCCTTGAAGAGTATAAGAAGAAGAAATGAAAAAAAAAGTGGTGTATGATGTTTTTAAGGTATGGGCGGCATTTTTTTTAGGCTTAATTCGCCCTACTTATTTCTATCTTATAGGGTGCAAATTGAGTTGACCGGTGAATTTCCTTCAAGATATAATGAAGATCCTTAAATATAGATTGTACTTTCAAAATTCAAGCGAAGACAACAATAACCTTTACAAAGTGATAATTTGACTTTTATCTCTATATGCACTCAAAGACAAAGACAATGAATTTGATTTTTGTGTTTGTGTTGTGTTGTGTTATGTTATGCCTTTCTCATTTTCTCCAAATAGAACGATGGAGGGGTTCATATAAATCATGAAATGATGTCTTAAAGAGATGTCTCTTGGAGTAGTACCTCTCCAATTAAAAGTCACAACTATATGTTGGTTCATGAACCAACATATTTTAAATAAATAAAAGATATTTAATATGTAAGGTTTTTTAGTATTGTAACTTCCTATATAACTCGTCATATAAATATATTAATTTATATGAGAATATAACCTTTCAGATAAATTTATTAATTTATACAAAGACATAACTCCTCATATAATTTTATTAATTTAATAAATTTACGTGATGACATGACTTTTCAAAAACCCATCTCCTCATTTAAAAAATATTCCAACATGTTCAATACATATCTTAAATCCAGCAATCTCAACTCAGTGAGAGCTGAACCTTCTGACTATGGTAGTCACTCTTAAACACAGCAATCTCAATTGGTTTTGCTGTATTGGCTGTAAAATTAATTTTACTCTACAAAGACATTTGAGATCTCGCTCGCGCGCTCATTTACAAAGATAGGGAAGAAATGTAAATCTCTTTTGTGCTCAACCATACCCTCTGATTGAAAGGAAAAGTTCTCTTGGGCTATTTTGTCAATCACTCCTATGAGCCACACTTTAAGAGAAGTAAAGATTCTTTTGTTTTTGTAAATCTCATTTCTGCAGGAGCTGTCCACATGCTTGCATCCATCTCAAAGACCAACAATAGGAAAGAAAATGTGACTGGTGGTGTTCCTTCTGGATCCAGGGCGGAGACAATGGCTAATCCTTTTCGGTGAGCGATTTAATTTAAAACATATGGACAAATTGGGCACTTTTGGGCAAGCGAATGAGTCCTTGTGTACATTTGTTGTATCTTTTGGGGCAAAATACCATCTTGTGTTGAAGTTGTGAAAATATTTTTAGTGTTGTGTATTATTAGCCTTTTGTCAGATCTCTAAGCATGCCCTCAAAAACAAAACAGAACTCTTCTGATTTGAAGATGTTTGGATGAAATCAAACTACAGTTTTAAAAGTGGTTTTAAAGTATACGAAGTAAGTATGTGGAAGTGAAAAAGTGCTTTTAAAAAACACTTTTTCTTGATACCAAAAAATGTATTAAATCAGTCGTGTTCCTGGATTTTCTTAGCTTCTTGGTTCTATTTTTTTGGCTTTACATTTATAAAGATTTTAGTCTCCCGGGTCAAATAAAAAAGAGCAGAGAATGCAGCACGTTATGGGTATCAATGACAAATATAAGACTAAACTATAAAGATTGCATATACGCCTCAATGGCAGCTTGTTCCCTATTGTCGCTACCACCATTTGTATTTCACACAGGTTACAAACATAGATCATAACTAATAACCAAAATCATATGTTTTCAGCTGCTGAATCTACAAGAGTTGTTGCGGACACTTGGTTGTGTTCCTTCACCACCATTTTTCTCATCTTCATGAACCACCTTATCGCAGCTGCAGCATAGTCATATAGACTAAGAGCATATAGAGCCCAATCCCAGCAATTATCCCATTTGCTATAGAATAAGTAAGTGGCATCAGAATCATTGTGGCAAAAGCAGGCACTGCCTCTTTTATATTGCTCCAATCTATATCCTTCACCATCTTCATCATCATAACTCCCACCATGACCAATGAAGGTCCTATAGCCCAAGGAGGAACACTGGACAACAGAGGGGCAAAAAACAGTGAAATGAAGAAAAATAAGCCTATGATCACAGCTGTTAAGCCTGTCCGGCCTCCTTCTCTCATTCCGATTGACGATTCGACAAAAGTCGCCATTGTCGTAACACCTAATGCAGAATTCACAATGGTTCCAGCTCCATCAACCAAGTAAGCAAAGTATTCACCTTCAAAGTTTCCATCTTCGTCTACAAAGCCACCAACTTCTGCCATAGTGTATATAGTTCCTGTGCTGGCAAGCACATCCACGTAGAATAGTGTGACTATTGCCACCCAAACCTCACTTCTATGAAAATCACTGAAGCTGAGAACTCCTAAAGTGGATTCAATCTTGTGAAAATCAACCACTTTCTTGAAATAATTGTAATTCTCATCACCAAGTGGAGTTTCAGGGAAAAATGTTACTTTTGTTCCCCTAAACCATGAAGCAAAAGTCACAAACGAAATGCCATAAATCATACTACCCTTCACATTTTTCATTAATCCGTAACTCGTAATAAGAAACCCAACAAGCGCAAGCCAGAATTTTGGGTTTTGCATCCTCCCTCCCATGCATTCCCCTGTATCTGGGTTTGTGTCGGCACATGCAGTGATAGTCACTAAAGTAGACGGATCGGGCCCAACAAGTCCAACGCCCTGATTGGCCTGCAGGCCCACGAAGGCGATGAAAAGCCCAATCCCGGCCCCACAAGCGAGCCGAATCGAATGTGGTATGAGCTTAGCGAGCTTCCCACGTAAGCCGAGAGCTGAAGCTAATAGAAACAAACATCCCTCAATGCAAACCCCGGCTAGCGCAGTTTTGTAGGACAACGGCCCGGTTCCGTGAAAGCCGACTAAGTTAAAAGCAACATAAGCGTTGGGTCCCATACCTGGGGCCAAGCCGAATGGCAAGTTGGCTAAGACTCCCATAGCCATGGACCCAATCATGGCTGATAAAATAGTGGCCACAACGAGATCGTTCTTGGTCTTGGAAAGGCAGGTTTGGTAGCCGTCGTTGGGCCGGAGGACACAGTCTGAGGTGGCCGGAGGTGAGCAGTCGGCAGCGGAGCAGGTTCCACCGGAAGCGGTGAGGACGGTGGCGTTGACGGAGATGATATAGGCCATGGTGACGAAGGTGGCAGTGGCAGCACGAAGTTCTCGTGTGAAGCTGGTCTTCCTAGCTTCCAACTTGAAGTACCTTCCGATGAGGCTCTTCGAAACGGCCTCGTTGAAGCGTTTCTCCGTTTGGCTCCATGAGCTACCACTTCTTATTCCTGCACACAAATCTCCTCCCATTGTCTTTCTCAGTCTCTGTTTGTTTGGAATGAGAGCGCGACGTGACTGTATATATAGCAGGCCTGTGCGTTACACGGATGTGTGTGTAACTGTGTATGGCCAGTTTAATTATTATATTATATTCCATAGTATAAGATAACTTTGGGAACAAATGGAAGCTATGGAGGTGAAAAACGGATTCGTTTTTTATTTCGCTCAACGAAGACGGAATTAAACAGAACCAAAAAAGTTCCAGGTTTCCAGCATACTTTATGACATGGATGGAAATTAAATTCTTGTTTTTTTTAACTCATTTCGCTTCTAAATATGGAAACTAGTTAATGATTTGCTTGGGTTTTAAACGCTTTTTTACTTATTTTTCCATAATTCTTTTAAACTATTTTTAATTGATTTCATATATAAAGGAAGTTTACATCTAGGTAGTTTCTAATACAAATTACTATAAGAATTTTTTTAAAAAAAAATATCACAAATTTTTTACAGATGATTGACCTAACTAGTATTTTTTAATATTTATAAATTGATTAATTAACTCTGATATTGAAATGTATATTCTGGAAAAAGTAAGTGTCCCTTGATTTCGAACCAAATGGGATTAAAGTAATCAAAAGTTTGGAAAATTATTATATATTGTAATATTATTGATCATTGATACTCTCCTTAATTGAAAGGACACAAAATCATATCAGAATCAGAACTAATTAATGTCTCTATTTCCTAAATTGTGGGCTCACTTGCTCTGACTTGAGTACAGTCGCGTTATTTCAAACTAAACCACAATGATTTATGAAGAGTGCAATTTTTTTTTATAAGTTTTATATTATAATTAAATCTTTTTAAAATGGTTTTGTGATGTATAAATTTGAGATCCATTGACAACTAAGAAATTTTTGATAAAAAAATACAGAGAATCAATCAATATATTGTCGATCAAATAGAGAGAAGCGTGGACCTCATCTAATGTGAATTAATATTTTATTTAAAAATAAAAGTAATAAAAAATCTCAGACTTTATAAAAATAATTACCAAAAGCCATGCTCATCAAATTGTTTGATATGTTTTTTTTTTCAAATTGTTGTATTTGATCTGATGCATAACACAGAATATCTAATATAAAATTGGAATGATTTCTCCTTTGTATATTTAATTATTTATCAGGTGGTGACACATATATATAGTCCATTTTATTCTATACAATCTTGGTAAGATGAAAATTCTAAAAGAAATGTGGTAAGACCCACAAAATTAGATCCAAATAAAATAAAATACTCCAGCTCAATTGTTCGTTGGATTTGCTGGGCATCTATTAACAACCACGAAATAGATAACCTGAAAGATCCAAAACCAAAATCTTTGAATGATCTAAATATCTAATACAATTTTTGAAGTCCCTAACTCCATATATATAGGAATCTTATGAAGTTGTACTTATACCACAATTTGCATTAGCTTATGATTAAACTACACACCATGGCCCCTTTCCCGAAAATATATAATATTCACACACACTCACACATGTAGTAGGTGTATATTAATTTGATTATCCAATATTAATAAAAAAATATTTGGGAGAATTATTATGAGTTTCACACAAGCAATCTGATCACTAAAAATCTTACAACAAGTGAGTATCATGCAACCTGTTGTTATTTCTTGTACCGGATTCTATCATTGCATTTAGGAGTTTTTTTTCCTGATTAAATTGCTTATTAATGCACAATAATTCTCCCATAAAGGTTTTCTGCTAATCTATGTTTAAACAGGCTGAATCAATTTTTGTCCTGAATAATCAATCTTTTTTTTTTGAGACTGAGTCCTTAATAAATTAATCCTAATTCAGTATAGATACCTAGCTCCCCTTGGGTAAGTCCAAAAGCTGGCATTCTTTATTGTTACTTGTGAGATTCCACCGTAGCAAATAACATTTCGAGAATGTGCAGGCTCCTTAGTGTGTGCGGGTATTATGTCTATAACTATAAGCATACACGCAATATTTGGAAATTGGTAAAAATAAAATAATAAAAAGTATGGATAATGGTTTTGCTGAATGAAGGATAGTTTACTCCTTTAAAATATGGTCAATAATTTGAATGTTCTAAATCAAGAAAATCTTATAAAAAAAAAAGTCCGACTAAATTAAATTTGACCATATTTAAATTTAAGAATAATATAATTTTTTGTCCTATAAGTTTGTTTTCATTTTGGTTTTGATTCTTTAAGTTTCAAACAATAAGTTTTATTCTTTCAATTTTTTTTTAATTTAAATCACTAGTCCCTATAATTTAATCAAAAAGTGAACTATTTTATTTTTTAAGAGACTAAAACTTATGATTTGAAATTTGAGAGATCAAAATAAAAATGTGTACAAATTTAAGGGATTAAAAAATGTATTAATTTTTAAATTTATAGCATGATTTCATTAAATCAAAATACGTAGAAATAAAAGAACTTTGAGGGTGGGCGGGCCGCGGGCGCATGTCTTCTTTGGTGGTGACTCTCAGCACGTGGCCATCTGTAGGGACACAAGGTAGCTGCGCGTGCTGCAGATATCCAAAATTATATTGTTTCTGAAAGTATGTAAAAAATTATATATATTATTGTATTATAATTGCGTAACATAAGGCAGCTTTATTTGAAAAATTATAAGCAAAATGCATGCGAGAAAGGAATATGAATTATTATATATTTTTGTTTATAGGCTTTATTAAGGGATGGTGACCTGACTCTTGAGAATGTTGAAAGTTGAAACTGCGGTGGGTTCTTCTTTTGAGAGACTGTGTCTGCGAAAGAGGGGGGGTTTTACAGCGCATCTTTGAATTGTTGGCATTTCTTTTGAGTGTTTAATTATAATCTATAGATGATCAAATTAATCCATCTGCGCTTTTGATTTTAATTCCGTGACAAAAAGCAAGAGAGCTTAGAGTTTGATCCCTGCTCTTCTTTTTATGTGCCTCTACACTTGTTTCTTTCTCTGCTATCGAAGTGTATTCATAAACTCATTCAACTGTTCTTAAAGATGAAAAGCTGTGATTATACTCCCCAGTTTATAATTTATAATTGTCATGAGTTCAAAAAGTTACCTTGAAGCAAGGACGTTCAAGGCTCTGGGCTTTCCTGTTTTAATAACTAGCTTTTATGGTGTACTTGTACCTTTCATTTTGGTGTTTTCATCGAGGGATGGCCAGCCGGCGAGGGTTGTTATTCTTTTTTTTTTTTGGACTCAGGTTGTTATTCTATTTAAAGGGAACTATCCAACTCTAACAGTTAGCTTTTAGAATGTGATTATAAGTTAAACTTCTCTGATTATAAATTAAATCTAGGAGCTATGGTTGAATGGTTTGCTAAATTCTGAACTTTATCACTGAGATCTTCTTGTCTTATCTGTTTGGTTCAACGAAAAGGAGGAGAGAGGAGATTAATTAAAAAAAGAGAGAAGAAGGGAAGGGAGGTCATGGGTTTTGTTTGGTTGGAGGGGAGGGAAAGAAAAAGGAGATTTCTTGTTCGGTTCATCAGGAGAGGAGAAGTAATTATAAATTGACAAATATGTCCTTATTTTTATATTTAGACTATTTTATTTTTTTATTACAATATTTTTATGCAGGAGATATAAAATTGGTAAGAAAAGAAAATATGACAAATAAATAATGTTTTGTATTTAAGCATTTTGGATAGGACCTTAATGTAATTTTCCTTTTTAAATATCATATCACAAATTTTTTTGGTTAGTTTTGGGTACTAAATTAATATACATCTATTTTAACTTGCATACTAATCCACTGTATCATTGAAGTTAATGTTTACATTGATATCGTTTGTAGTAGAAAGAGTAGTTAACGTTTGGTATGAAATTCAAACCAATATATACCTTTTCAAGGCAACACAATAAATTTGGAACCAAAATTTAATTAATGATCTTTTCATTTTCAGGTAACAGACTCTGCTAATCTTGCTTATCAAATCACCACATATAATATGATGCAAACTTGGAGAGAGACGTAGGTAACACCTGAATCCAATAGATATATTAGCTATTATATATGCGGGGATGGACGAACAAGGAGAGGAGGCAGAGATGAGGATAGAGCCAGTGAACTATGCTTCAGATATACAATTGATGAGAGAAGAAAATATTACGAATAAAGATGGAAGAAAAGGGAAAGAAGTGAGGAAGAGTTTCTAATATTAAAAAGCTAATATAAATAATTTAGTCAATATTAGATATAAGATTTTTCTCCCCTCCAAATAATATTAGACATAATATTTTTCTCATTTCCAAAAAACCCCAAATTTGGAAGAGAACAGAAAGAAAAGAGGGAAGCACTAAAAAACAAATTTCTTCTCTCCCTCCCTTCTATTTTTTCCAACCAAACACATTTATTTCATCCCCTCCTCTCTCCTCAAAAACCCTCCAACCAAACAGTGTTAATGTTCCACATGCTCATCTTAGTAGTATGAATTTGTGTTAGTTCCACAAAAGTAAGTGATAAATGTACATTTACAAACTAATGGGTGAGCTAGTCTCCTGCTACGTAGTGAATTAGGGTTTAAATCTTTGTTAGGAGATGTGTATATATTTAGTGCACAACAATACTTTGAATAAAATTATTTCTAATTGAAGAATACCTACGCTTAACCAAAAAAAAATGCACACCTGTAAAAGAGGCAAAAATAAAAAATAATGTCGAGAAAATGTGAACTTCATCTGTGTTTTCTTCCAAACTAGTAATGTCCGAGTGCAATGCACGTAATATTCTTATTTTCATTTATTGATAAGTTATAAATTTTAATCTAATTATTCTATTTTATTCATATGACATAAAAACAATAAAGTGTATGTTACCAAACAAAATGCATAAAATAATTATGTTGAGCGAAAAAATATAACTAAGCTGTATTCTTGAAACTTTCATATGTTAAAAGACATTCTGATTTAATTTGTAAAATTATTTTTATTTTATCCATAAAGTAATATTCTATTTACTAATTGGAAATATAAAAAGGTAATGCAATCATCATACGACCCCTTCCCAAACATGCGTAGCTTGGGAATTGTTGGATTCCCTGTCTCATGGTGTTGATTCCAGCAACCTAAAGCACCATTTAGTGCAGTGCAGCATTACTCATTTCTATCTTTATTATTTCTTCAGTTACATTCCTACTATCAGTTTATATGAAGAAAAGATCTCATTTGAATTGAAAGAAGGAAATGATGATCACTCTTACATATATCACAAGTGAATGCTCGGCATCAATGGCAAAATTGAAAAATATCATAAAATACTTGGCAGAAAACTATTAATATACACACAATGTAAATTATTTAGCAGATAAAAGGTAACTCACTCAAGCAGCCTCTTGGTGCGCAGAACAAAAGTCATAAGAATCCATGACCTCAAAAGCAAGAGATATTAGTTCATTTGATAAGAGAAAACCTTCTGGGTCACTCAACCGTATATAAGCCACTTTTCTTTCTTTCTTCTTGTTCTCAGCCAACAAACAAGTGCTGAGTTCTTCTTCTCCAATGGCTCGTCTTTTCACATCCAAGCAAACCACATGTCCACTTTCAACATAAGGTTTATAAGTCTCCAAAAGAGACGAAACAATGAAGCTACCAAATGATTCTTCAAAACTCTTCAAGTCTAAACCTGATGAGGTTCTCAGGGACAGCATCACAACATCCATGGCTGTGTCCTTGACATTAATCTGATCATTGAAAGAGCAATTTAACAGTCCATTTTCCAAATCCTGCACGAATGTCATATACTCATTTACTTTCTTGGGTCTTGAAAACCTTAATCCACCCACGAAACTCGCAGAGCCGAGGCCGAATCCATAGAAAGGTTTGTTCTTCCAATAGGTATAATTGTGTTTGCATTCATATCCACTCTTGCAATAACTGCTGATTTCATAGTGGTTGTAATTCGCATCAGAAAGCATTCTTGAAGCCATTTTATAGAAATCTGCTGATTGTGTCTCAGAAGGAAGGGGGAATTCTCCTGGAGTATACCTGCAAACATTTTAGTCTCAATCGCCATTTTCATATTGAATATAAAGCTATAACTAAATATTCAATATTTGAATTATTTAACCCATTCAGTAGTAGATTCAAAAGATCAGTAGACACAGAAATTAGTCTTTCTAACAGCAAACAAGTTCTGCATTAGTGTTCAGAGTAAAGTCACATTTTGGCCGGAATTTTTGGACTAATTTCGCTTAGTTCCCCAAAATTAGCAAGTCCACGAATTTATCTATAACCATAATAAACTTGTTTGTTGTAGTGCAAACTAATGCTTCTCTTAAGTAACTCAAGAATGCTAAAAAAAAAAAAAAAGACTTGCTTGTAAGTTGTGACAAATTCGTTATTTTCAAAAATTGACTTTTTTGGCCAAAAAAAATTCACTTGTATATTCGTTAATTGTAGAACTAAAAGCAAGTAAACCAGACAATTTAATGATCATATTGTTATTTTATTTTAGATCTTGCTCAACAATTCAGAGATTCTACAAGGACTAACTTCCTACTAAGTATATTATACTACTTTCAGTCCTTAATATAAGAATTAGATAATTAATTTGAGGGCATTAAAAAATTATTTAAATTGGTTATTCATAAAAAATTTATGTTAACTTCCCTAAATGATCTTTTTTAATCACAGGCATTGGAACTATTTTTTCACAGAACCTCTTATAATCAATAGGAATGTTTTGAGAAAAAATTATAATTTTGGGAGACAAAGTGGATTAAGGTCTAATATTTAAAACTAAATCTAATCTTAAACTAGTTTTTATATTAAGACTAAAGGTAGTATTTGGAGACTGAGTCATCCATTGACTGATTTTCTGATAACTAGTGCCAGTGAGAGTGATACTTACAGTGTTCCGAATTTTGTGCCCTGTTCAATTTGCAAATCATACACAGAAACATGAGTGGGCTGTGCCTCAATGGCAAGCCTCAGAGTTTCCTCCCACATATCAGTTGTCTGATGAGGCAGTGAAGATATGAGATCAATACTCCAATTCTCAACCCCACATGACTTGACAATACCAATAGATTCATTAACCTCTTCCAGGCCATGTGCCCTCCCACAAGCTCTCAACAGCTTCTCCTGAAATGCCTGAACTCCCAAAGATACTCTATTCACTCCTAACGCTATCATCGCTTCCATCTTCCTAGCATCAAATGTCCCAGGATCCATTTCCATTGAAATCTCAGCATCCTCACACACACCAAATTTCCCACTCAACGCCTCCAAAACCAATGAAACCAACCGTGCCGGCACGAGAGATGGTGTCCCTCCCCCAAAAAACACAGTCTCAAGAGGCGTTTTAGCATTGATGTTCACCTTCATTGCATTGATTTCTCTGCAGAGAAGTTGTATGTAGTTAATCACTCGAGGGTCATCATCAATTTGGGTTGAAGCAGAGCCAAGAGCCACGATTGGGAAATCACAATAATGGCAACGCTTGCGGCAGAAGGGGAGATGAATATAAGCAGAAGTAGGAGGAGCTAGGTGAGGAGCAATTTCGATTGTGTGTTTCCTAGGGACATTTTGTCGAACACGTGGTGCGCTGGTGGCAAATGCGTTCGTGATTACGTGCGGTGACATTTTAAGAGATTTGGAACTGGGGAAAAGCTCCCGGTAGAGGGGATTGAAGGTAGATTTGAGCATGGTCGCTCTAGAATAACGAAGGTAGTTAAAGTTCATGTGCGAGAAAATGGGAGGGACTCATATCGCTATAAAATCCTTGTTTACGCGCGTATGAATATGGACGCCGGGGTCGTTATGCGCTTTATGATGTCCTTGCTCCGGCACTGGAACTACGTCGTTTTCGAAAGATTTTTCTTTTAGAAACACTCGTATGTATTTTCTTTTCTGGCAGGTACAGAAGTACTACCTCCTACCCTAATTATAAGAGTGAGTTGACTAATTTAAAGAGATTAAGAAAGTAAGTTAAATTAGTTATTTATAATAAATAGATATTATCTTTCCAAAAATATCATTGCTAATCAAGGATGTTGGTAAGAACTATTATTATTAGAATGACTATCTTGAAAAAAATATAAATATTAGAGACAAAGTAGATTGAGGTCTTATATTTAGAAACAAAATAAAAATCAAATAAGGCCTTATATTAAATACCGGACGTAGTATGTACTTTCACACCACTAATATATTAACATAAAAATTCCCAAATTTAAATGATGCACAATGAAAATATTGTTTCTAACTTTCTATACTCGGAGCAAAGGGATAGCCGTTTAAAGCATGTTGAAATAAATCGCATTATCTGTATATAAATAATGTACTACATATTGAATTGATTAGTATGTTAATATTGATTACTAAAGAAATGAAACTTATTTTAATTATACACTTTTTTATTTTTTAAACTTATTGTTTGCGAGACACTTCTTTTTTTTTAATGTATACTGTATGCTTTTTTAATAAACAAATTATGATATCATGCATTGCACAGAACTATTAAACCTCTCATCTTGCCTTCCGGTCAAAAAAAAAAAAAAACATCTCATCTTGCCTGGTCACACTCGTGTGATCATACCGACCGCATAGTTTAAGAGTCCGTTTGTCATGCTGAAGATTTTACGATTGGAAAAAATGATGATTTTGCATCCATCGTGAGTGTTTAGTTTTAACATTATACTATCTCTGGTCTTAAATATAAAAACTAGTTGACTAATTTGAGGAGATTAAAAAAATAAGTTAAATTAGTTATTTATAATAAATAGATGTTGTCTTTCCTGAAATATCTTTGCTAATCAAGTGTATTGACTAGAACTATCATTGTTAAGGACTACCTTGAAAAAAATACATAAATATGAGAGACAAAGTGGATTAAGATCTTATATTTATGACCAAGATAAAAGTCAAATAAGATCTTATATTAAGAACCGGATATAGTATAAGGAAAGGTGAGTTCTCACCAATTTTGGTGGGAATTGACTTTTATCACAGGCGGGAAAATACAAAAGACCAGATTATTCTTCAAATTTGAATAAAATGCTTAATATCTCATTGAGGAAATCATGTGAAGTTGTTTGAACACTCAACACATCATTGAATCTTCATCTTTACGGTATGTTTTATCCATTTTATCACCATTGAGTTGCTCAACCAACACATGCAGCTTGGCTAACAAGTATCAACCTTCATTCAACAGGCTTTTTAACAACGTCTATATCAATTAAAAAAAAAAAATGCTTCCACCTAAACTAATATATGATTTTTCAAATCTGATTGAAAGTCTGGTGAGAAAAAATCTAGTAAGAGAAAACGTTTTTGAACACTGTTCACTATAATGGTTATACCTTTAAAATTACAAGTGTTTTTGAATGGATCTTATTGAATTAAAAACTAGATTGAGAGAACTTTTCAATGATAAGTCGTTTGTCTAATTTGAATCTAAATTAAAATAGTTATATGTAATCAAAAGTTATTCTATTTAAAAACAAAATGTAACAGAGACGTAATGAATTCAAATTCTATGTGAAAAGTTGGAATGTATTGTGCATAAATTAAAATTTGTGGATACAAATTCTAATTTACATCGATGGTTAAACTTTAAGTTGCAGTAAAAAAAAGTATATTCGAATTTGATGCAAAAATAATTGAATTTGCTGCATTAAATTCAAATTCTCTTTAGTAGATTCAAATTTTATGTAAGAAAATTTAAATTTTTTCATATCAAATTCAAATTTAGTTGCTCATTTTCTTGTCATATTAAAGCTTAAATCTTAACAAATTTGACTTTATTAATCTAGATTTAAATTAGGTAAATGACTTATCATTGGCTATTTAAATATAGTTTCTAACAAAATAACATTCATAAAGAATTCTTTAAATTTTATGAGGCCATAATCAAAATTGTGAACAAAGGTTATAAATGTTTTAGCAATGACCTTTGATAAATATTGTTATGATATCTCACAAACTATAAATACTTTTAAAATGAAATTTGCTTGATATAAATATAGATTTAATAAGCTTTTCAATGACATCTATTTAAATAATTTAATTCTACAATGTTATTATATGTTTTTTAAAACGTTTGTGACTTTTGCTTACCATCTTGAAAGTAAATTTTCAAATACAAAGAGCTTTTAAAAAGGTCGTGTTGCATTAAAAATTAAACTTAAAAGAATTCTCAATAATAAATCATATGGTCCACTTAAATTTAAATTAACAAATATATGCATCTAAAAATATACATTTTAATTGATTTTATTTATGCACATTAGATTTATAGATTATTTGATTATATTTCTTTCTTTTTTTTGTGAATTTATTTTTACTCTTTGCACAAATTTTTCTATTTTTTTATTTTTTTATTTAATTATTTAATGCCCATTGTCATTTTTATATTTATATTGAATATTTATATTTATTTAAATTATGATAGATTTTATTCACTTATTTTTTCAATTATTAATTTTTTAATAATATTATTCTATAAGGTTAAAAATATTATATTCTTTCATTAAGGATAATATGGTAAAGTTGCACAATTTTTCAATTCATTTCAACCTCATCAAACATAAGATTTTTCATCAACTAACTTTTTATTCTAGTGTTTATTCATTTTATTTTATTTCTATCACAACCAATTTTTTTCACTAAAAAGACCCTAAGCGAATTGTTCAGGTAAAAAAAAGAATAATTATAATGTATTTGTTTTTTCTTGCCAAAAAAGGTAAAGCGAATTACGAAGGGGTATTTCGCGGCCGCTCCTTCGCCGATCAAAAGAAGGCTCGGAAGTGTACCGCACTGAACAAAGAACAAAGCACCAAGCGGCGATGGAAGCAGAGGAGGGGACTCAGGAGCCACAGCTGGTGCTAGCTCACAAGCTCTTCCTTCTCAGACATGGTGATGTGGAAGACATTGAGAAGGTCCGGCTTAAAGATGAGGTGTTTGCGTTTGTCAAAGAAAATGGTAACTCCACAACTTCTTCATTCTCCATTTCATTCACTCCAATTTCAACTCCTCGTTATTCTCTGGCTGTCATACTCAAGTATCTTTTCGTTTGATGTTAAGATATGGCCCCTTTGTACGAAACCCTAGTCGCTGATTCAGTTTTGGACATGGATCAAAGCATTCTGGATTCGATGCGTGCTAAGATAGATGAGGAGCTCAAGAAGCTTGACGAAAAGTGAGTTAATTTCTTTTTAATGACTGAATTTTGAGTATATTTTAAAAGAAAAAGAAAACTTCAGTCGGGCGTTTTGATCAGGCCTTTAGGTTATTGAATTCCATACAACTTGAAGTTTGAGATTTAAAAGCCATTAGGTTTTTTGGTTCGGCGCTTTCTCCGACATTGAGAGGGATTGGCATCTGGTACTTCTGTAGTTTTGCATTACCCACAGCCCTGCAGGAATTCTTGCATATTTCAAGTACTGTACAGTTGCATCATTTGAAGTTTCTGGGTGGTGCTTTATCCTAATGTGACGACGACTCATAATATCTTTCATTATTATGCCAACCACGCTTAAATCAAATTTAAGATATGTATGGTTGCTGTCTCACATAATCCTGGCTAGCAGATGATACAAAGCTTACAAGTTTGGGAGAAAGGTGTATGTTAAAGTAAGCTGTGTAAGATCAATGAATGGAGAGGACTAGGTTGCTTTCTTCTTCTTCTTCATCTATTGACACCATTGCCAGTGTGAAGCGAGAAAAGTTTATTGCAATGCATGCACATCTTTGTATGTGGGAGAAGTGCTAGTTACTACTAGTGTTTTCAATGTTTTGGTTTTCAGATGCTCATATCTACTAATCACTTATTCTATGATGAATTTACATGGCAGTGAATGAAAGCAAAGGAGATTTATATCATTTAGGATGCCCATAAATCCATGGCAATATCATACCATCTCGTTCAAGTTTATTTTTCGCATAGGCCATTTATGTAGATTCACTTTTTAGATTATTAAATTGCATCCATAGCTTTTTTTCGTTCGTGGATATTTATATTCAGTTCCATGGCTAAACACCCTGCTGTTTCTTGTTCTGTTGTTAACTTGTTATAACTGTTGGTTATATGATAAAAGGTTTTTACCATGATTGACGTCATTAAGGTGGGTAGTATATTGAGATGGTGGAGGCTGAACTTCTTTCAAATACTGAGATATTTAATTTTGCACCAAACTATTTAGAGCTTAATATAATAGACTTAATGTCATTATTTCCTTTATGTGGTTCACTTATAAAGAAAATAACCAAATAAGAAGTGGACGTGAAATGACTAGCTTCTCAGGGTGTTTGAATCGGTGAATTCTTTTTCCTCCACTTAAGAGTCTCTAGAATTATGATAATCCCTATGCTCATTCATATGACCTGTGATTGGAATTTCTCTTCTGTTTTGTTAAAGCTAGAGTTACTCTTGCTCCTTTTAAGTGCTTATATTGAACGCAATATAAAAATGATGGGTTCAATGATATGGGAGCTGCATCTGGCCAGGGGACTGATAAGGCTATAAGCAATGACGTATTTGGATTATTAGGTCGGTAACAATAACGACTTGCTCCAAAATACGGAGACGGAACATATGATAGGTTAAGGAAATGATCATACTATTTAAAAGCATTGTTGCCTCGCAAGACCATGAGAACACGAATATATGGTAATGCACAGATCCAAATTTCTTCCTTATATATATAAATATGTATATACATAATGAATAGAGAGGGTAAAAAAAAAACAAATATTATTTCTCTACATCGTAGAGTGATGAGACATTAGAAATAGTCATGAATAGTAAAAAGTATTTATCTTTCTTACCCACGTCAGGGAAATATCTTGAGATTATAATTCATGCCCATTTATTTTTACAATTTAAGATGGTGTAAATTAATTTTCTATTCTTTCCTTCCATCCCCTTCTTCTCAATTTGGCTTTTTGAAATTTTAGACCGTGGTTCTACCTACTGTCCTATTAGCTATCCATATTTGCTCCTCTAGGTTGATGCCTAATAACCTGTTATAATATATGCTCTATATATAGAGCTTCTGTGTCGAACCGAAGAAGTGTTTGCGCTCACCACTGGGTGAGACGGATCATACATCACTGCATTCTCTTGTTTTGACTTCTTGAGATTCAAAGTTCAAACTGTTAGGTAGAAAGTGTCAAATTTAGTTGTCCTCATACTTATGATATTCTATATGGTTGCTTAATCTTAGAATTGCTGATGCTGAAGAAAACTTAGGTGAGAGTGAAGTTCGAGAGGCCCACTTGGCAAAATCCTTGTTCTTCATCAAGATCGGTGACAAGGTATATGCCTATTATAACTTATAGCTTCATTCCAGACAGATGGTGCTGTAATGATTTTTTTACAGTATTTCTCCACATAAACCAGGAGAAAGCCTTGGAACATCTCAAGTTAACGGAAGGCAAGACAGTTGCAGTTGGCCAGAAGATGGACCTGGTGTTTCATACATTGCAGCTTGGGTTTTTTGACATGGATTTTGATCTCATTTCCAAAAGCATCGACAAAGCAAAAAAGTAATGAATTGTAAACACCCCTTCTCTTCTTCCCTCCTTTATTTTTGACTCCAGTCTTGTATTTTTAACTTTGTACACCATGATGGCAGCTTGTTTGAGGAAGGTGGTGACTGGGAAAGAAAGAATCGGCTGAAAGTGTATGAAGGCCTGTACTGCATGTCCACACGGAATTTCAAGAAGGCTGCCAATTTATTCTTGGATTCTATCTCAACTTTCACAACTTACGAACTTTTCCCCTATGACACCTTTACATTTTACACGGTTTTGACCAGCATTATATCATTGGATAGGGTTTCCCTGAAGCAGAAGGTGATTAGTTTTTACAGGGACCATTTTTTTTCTGCTGTTCCATTCCATTCTACTGTACAATTTGTTTCCTGTCAAATGTTCTGCATATCCGATTTTGTTAATTTTAGTTGATCTGAATCAGGTAGTGGATGCTCCTGAGATCTTGACTGTGATTGGCAAAGTTCCCTATCTTTCTGAATTCTTAAACTCCCTATATGATTGTCAGTACAAGTCATTTTTCTCTGCATTTGGTGAGTAGATGCCTGCCATATCCCTTCCCTCTTAATAGTTTCTGACAGTATCAGCTGGGCACACAGCTAGGGTTTGCAACTGCTAGAATGTAGTTGATTTCTGATCTTCCATCTGCTATTGGAATTCATGTTCTTACTTGGTTTCATTTGAAATTTTTTTCAGCTGGGATAACCGACCAAATCAAGTTGGACCGCTATTTGCACCCACATTTTCGATATTACATGAGGGAGGTTAGAACTGTTGTTTATTCACAGTTTTTGGAGTCTTACAAGAGTGTTACAATTGAGGCGATGGCAAAAGCATTTGGAGTGACTGTGGATTTCATTGATCTGTAAGTTGATTAATTATGGCCGATTAAATGTCAACTTAATTGATTTTTAGAAAGATTTAAAAATCTTTTGTAAGTTACGTTCTGCTGGCCCTGTTAACTCGTTTAATTTATTTGCTGCCAGGGAGCTTTCACGTTTTATTGCAGCTGGGAAACTTCATTGTAAGATTGATAAGGTTGCAGGAGTTCTTGAAACGAACCGCCCTGATGCCAAGAATGCTCTATACCAAGCAACTATCAAGCAAGGGGACTTCCTGTTGAACCGGATTCAAAAGTTGTCTCGTGTGATTGATCTTTAAAGTTAAGTCTTCTTTTGCAATTCATCGTTATAGACAAAAAAATTGTGGAAAAGGAAGAGAGATACAGATAGATTCAAGGATTTTCTGTTGAATGCGTTTTACTAGAGGACATGATACGCTGTATTCTATTTGATTTGCTAACTAGTGAACAATTTAGCTTGTTGGGTCTTAGCTGTCTCAATCCAGTTTCCAATTATCTTTCGAACAAAATTTTTTGTTATGAATTTGTGGTGTTTAAATGCTTTTGCAATTATGCCTTTGTCTTCTTAGTAGTTTTTGTTTTATCATTTGCATGTTACAAAGTTTCAATGTATTATTATCCTAAGAAGAATCTTCAATCTTATTTATCTATATAAGTTATTTACCAGCTAAATTTCTGTCTTTAATTAAATACATATAAAACTCTTATGGAAAGTAAGATGAATGAAAATTCAATCGAATGAAGATTTTCGAGATCACGAGACTGTGTTCATTCGCATACAAAAAGAAGCTGACAGCCTCAAATTGGAAGTATTAACTGGAAAATCAGGGGTCACTCGGACGCTTGTAAACACGTTGGATCATGGAGGGAAGGCATCTTGCAGGGATATCATCCATGATGAAGGTGAAAACCGGATTTAAAGGCTTTACGAGAAAACGAAAAACCAGATACGCACAACAAAACTAAAAGCTATTCGTTGTGGGCCAGCTCCGTGTAGCTTAAGAACAAGAATTATTGCTACGCAAGTGAGAGGTCATCAGTGTTTATTCCTTAGGCCCCAAAAAAGGATATTCTTCATGGTAGTGAGATTGATAAGGTCACTAGGATTAAGGTTGCATGAAAACTAAAGCTTACCACGAATTTGTAGATGCAGTAAGTTTGATTCAAAAAGAATTCTTTTTATGTCCCTTTGAGGATCTCTGATAAAATTGGAATGATACAGAGAACATTAGTCTTGTTGACTAATACGTTCAACCAGATAAGACATCTAATTACTTATGATTGGGTGATCGCTTCTAGCCACATGTTCAAATGTGTGGCAAAAAATAGAAGAAAATGTTATTTAAAAATTTATGTTGACAAAAATATGAGAATAAAAATGAGCAACAGTGTTTTTCAAGTGATAAAATGACATTTTAATCCTTATATAAAAACAATATAATTATTATAAAATGATTATATTAGATAGGATGTTATGTAAGATGCCACATAAGATGTAAGGTGTCTTATATTGATCTGACGTGGCAAATTCCATTAAAAAGATAGCAGTAAGTTAACGGTGAGATGTCTGTAATAAAATAATAAAAGATTAGGGGATTAAATTTAAATTTTAAAATATTAAGGAGGTTATATGCAATTGACCTATAGCTAGAGAGTTTTGTATAATTTAGCTTCTTTTTTTTAAAAATTAATTAGAAAGCGAACGGCTTATTATAAGCTGGAGTTTAAGAGGATAACATTCGTTGCTTTCCTTCAAAGAAAAGCATGAAATCGCCATCTCATTTATTCAGTAAATTTAAGTGAGTCATTGCTGCTTATAGCATTTTATTGGGCGAATCCATGGCTATTAAAATGATCTTCATGGAAAGGTTCCAAGCGCAACATAACTGCCATGATAAGCCAAAAAAATTAAAATAAAAAATAAAAAGAGCATTAATTGATTCACAAAAACGGATACGCCAGAGGCAATAAATGAATTAATGAAAGTAATGAAAGTGAAATGTTTCTTTTGGAAGAGGAAATATAGGCCAATGCATTAATTAGATTCTGGCATTCTGGTGCAAGAACAAGAATTAGATTTTGCTATGAACCTATTTCATATGGAGAAGTAATTTATCTAAAAGTTAGAATGGAATTAGAAGGAATTTTAAAGTTTATAAATTAAAAGCAATTTTTTTAAAAAAAAAAAAGGAGCAAAGGGTAAATCTAAGTTCAGATCGAATCAATGAATTAAAAATCATAGTCCTCCACCAAACTCGTAGAGATATCAATGCTAGTCATAGTCTGAGATTTAACGAACAAGAATCCAGAAGAATACCAACAAGAGCCATAAAGAGGCACCACAACTTTTCCGAGCAGACAATAAGCGTCGGGAAGTGCCAAGATTCTTTAAGCACGACTCCACCAAAATGGCCCCATCATTTTCATCCTCCCCTTCCCTTCCGCGCCTCCTTTTCCTTTGCGTCCTTCTTTCTTCTTCTAATACCATTGTTATCTTAAATCTGGTTAGATAACCGCTTTCTATGTGCTCGGTTTTGATTCTAAATATAAGACCTAATTCTCATATTTATCAATTTTTTTTTTTTAAATTATCCCTATAGATACTCTTTCAACCATAATTAAGTAGAAGATAAAGAAATGGTATTAAGAAAGATGATTATAGTGTTTGAGGAAAAACATGTCACATTTCTTATAATTAACTAACTTACTTAACTTTCTTAATTTAATTAAATTAGTTAAATGAATCTTATATTAAGAACTGGAGGAATACTTTTTTAAAGGGACTAGCTAACTAACATCATGATACTTCACATGGATACATATATGCTAAGCAAAATAGAGGCAGGGTATCCAAAGTCATACAAAGTTTAAGGTATTTGAATTAGCATATTTTGAGTGATTTCATCGGGGCTTTGTCTCATAAAATGTAAAAATATTTTTTACATGGTTGAGATTTTGTAACTTAATTGACATCAATCACTTCGCTCAAAACTTTCTTGAGCATGAGGTTATAAGTTTGAACCATCAATTCGGCCAAAAAAAAGTTTGAACCATAAAAAATATGTGAGCTATGACCAAACTTTTTTTGAAGATGATCTTCAAAGTTCAAACACCCCTTATAATTGTTTGTTTTTTCCCCTTAATGGCCCATAAATCTTGATGAGATGTATAATTTTGTCTGAAAAATACAAAATTTATGAAATCAACCTAATTTTTATAATAAGCAATTATAAGAAATAAATTTTTTTTGTCAGAATAAGAAATAAATATTCCTCCGGTCTTAATTTTTTTAAAACTTTTTTTAATGTAAATTACATGTTTTACATTTAAAATAGGAAGAATATAAAATAAGTAATTTACATTTTTTTTTGTCAGAAGGTAAATTTATCTATGTATAAACAATAAATCTTGAGTGATAGATCTATTTAACTAATTTGATTAGATCAAAAAATTTAAATAAATTAGTTAATTATTATTAGAAATATAATATGTTTTTCTTAAAATACTATAATTATATTTTTTAATATCTTTTTTCTCTCACTTACTTGATTATAGTTGAAGGAGTATCTATAAAAATAATTTTTAAAAAACTGATAAATATAAAAAATAAGTTTTATATTTGAGATCAAAATTAACTTAACAATTAAATTGTAAGAGTGGATGAGTATTATTTTGCCAATCCTAGTAAATCTTGCATAGATAAGCGGCAGAGATGTTCCTTACCGATCTGCCTTGGTTTAAAAAGAAAAAGAGAAGGAAATGACAAAGGCACCCAAATCCTTCTGGAGCCACAATTTCTCAGTATGATATGCCATATCTTTCGACATAGCTAAAATTTCGTCACTCTCAGCAAGACAGAGCAGTGGCCACTAGTCGCTATGCTGCCTCTGCCTCGTCTCGATGTCAACGACATTAAGGAGAAGCTCTCGTCCCACTTCAGACCTTGGCATCGCTCCTATCAGTTCTGGGTTCGGGCCATTGATATTTACACTGGTTATAAGGTTTCTGATCAATCAGCTTCGTCTCTGCACGTATTGGCTTCGACTTGAAAACTTCGTATTCATTCGGAATTTCTTGCAGGTGTTCCAACTTAAGGTGAGCTTTGAGAAGGATGCGCAGAAGCAGGAAGCATTGTGGGAAAAACAGCATGAGCTTGCTGCTGATAAGATATACTGTATGTGCGCCGACCTTGGAGGTTTCTTTCTCAAGGTATTAGATTTGTTTGTTTTTTTTCCCATGAATCTCGTCATGAAGTTTCATTCTTTTGCTCGTGAATGTTGATTATGAGTGAGATAGACGTATAATTCGAACGGGCTTTGCTTGCCCCATTTCATTTCTTGACTTGGTTGCTTTGATTATTGTTATTCCTCTCTCAAATCGAGAACGAATTTCTTTTCCAGTGTGTTTTACTTTTGTTATAATGCATATAAAATGGTTATATTATATTATTACTTTTTAGAACGAGAGGATGAAAGTGGGCTGACTTCCGTGGCTTGTGATCAGTCTACTTTATGTAGAAAATTACAATGACTTTTAGTTTTAGGGCACTTTTGTGGTCGTTGGATTTTTGTTGATTTCACTGCTACCCATTTTTCTCTTGGTTCTGTTCTCTTTTCTTATTGCCGATATTATATTTGGGGGGTCATATGAATTATCAAACAGGTCGCCCAAATTATAGGGAAGCCTGACTTGGCCCCAGCGGCATGGGTGAGAAGACTTGTTACCCTATGTGATCAGGCTCCTGCAACCCCATTTCACACTGTTAAACTAGTGCTGGAGAACGAACTGGGTCGGAATATTGATGATGTGTTTGAAATGTTTGATGTGGAACCCCTTGGATCTGCTTCAATTGCTCAGGTACTTCCGTCTGAGTGAAAATGACCTGCTATTTCATCTCTCCCATAAAGGATGCCCATCATTTGAGTTGCAGCAATTCTGTTCTCTCTTGACAACACCTGTTTATGCCTTTTTTGCATTCGATTGAATTATTTCCCTAGTGTGCTTGAGAACTAATGAAAGATGATTATTTTTGTTCCTGTCATCAGACTAATGCAGTAACTGATGCTGTCTATACATTTATGATTGAGTATAAAAGGTCACATCAGAGGTAGAATTGGCTCAAGGATTAAGTTTTTTCGCTCATCAGGGTGCATCTACTTTAAGTTTGTATCTCATGTTAATCACAAGTTACTTGTGGGTTTTACTGCACTTTATATTTTGTTTATTATTGTTATCATGTAATTCAATCAGGTGATAGAATAATTTAGTCTTCAAGTTTTTAAACCTCATTGGAATTGCAGTTTTATTAAAAAATTGCATATATAAATACCTTACTGCAGTTCATATTGATTCTCTTGTCACGTTTAAGTCTCCATTAGATTGATTTATAACAGCCTTATCGTGATCATGAGAACTTTGTTCCAAGTAGCTGACACATGCTACATGCTTGCGTTAGGTAC